CCCCCCCCTCTCTCCCCCCTTCCCGACGAACGAGGTTGGGAAGGTTATCTTAAGGTATTTTCCATTTATTCAATAATTTGTTAAATCTTTTAAATCTCTTATCCTGACTTAAAATTCTTAAAAAATTTAAGATTTATATGTAATTAACATTTTCATGCATAAACATTTTTGATGCATTTCAATTTAGAACTTTAGAATGGTGGATATCAGGATTATTGATTAATCCTCTGTTTTTGAAAATCTCGAGACTATGTTAGTCTTGAGATTAAATATTTAGATCAACAAATTGGATTCTAAGAACGCCAGATTGGTTCGTTTTCTTGACTAGAAGGGCCTTCACTTAATTTTTCACCCATTTATTTATTAATACATTAGTTAAAATTGGTTACAAAAGAATCTCAAACGCATTATTCAATATTTTTCTTCACCGATTAATTTACAAAATGGCCGACAACAAATTCTTTATTTGTTAGAAATTGCGGGTTTCTCTCATGAGATAGAATTTATTTTCAAGACTGTCATTGGTCAATACAATTTACGAATTATATTCCTGCACTCTCATTGGAGAAAATAATGTAAGGAAATCGAAAGAGAGAGAAAAAGAGTGGATTAAGGACTAAAATTAAACGTTTCCACATGTGGATATTCGGATTTAGTAGTTGGGATTAAAGGTTATCCATTCTAAAGTTCCCAACTCTGTTAATTCTGTGTACTAGAAAATCATGCAAGAGGAAAGCAGATTATGAATTTGCAAATCACAGGTTTGACTCATTGCATGCATTGTGAGGTTCCTCGCGTATTTTCCTTCTCTCGTATATTGTATTGTTAAAACAAACTTTATGTTAGGATTTCACAAATGCAACGTTTAGATTATTGTTTTGGTTCTTACAAGGTTTTTATTGGAAGTACGCAAAAATTTCGTGATTTTTGAATGATTTTCAAAGTGTGAGTATTTTTTCTCAGTTAAAGCTCAGCTCCGTGCAACCAATTTCAGATGTGTAACATAAAATAAAAATTTACAGCCTCCCTTTACACTCACTTCAAACTTACAGATTAGGTTTTTTTCATACACGGGGTGTCACTAACTACTATTACCTGCCCCAGAGTACATAAATGAAGACGTAGAACTACAGGAATATTCTATATTTGTTTTCTTAAAAAAAAGCTTGGAGTAATTCCAATATAATATTTACGGGCCTTGAAGTCTTAATGTTAGGGTTAGGGTAAGTTATTATTGCACATCTGTGGTTTTCTTTGAAAAGAAAACTGCCTGCTTTTAGAGTTATGATTTTATATTGGTTTTGTTAATTACCAAAGAAGAATAACATAAAAAATATCAATTAGCTTCAAGGGCTCTTGGTGCCCCTTTTTTACAGTAATAATATTAGCTTTTCTTGTTGATCTATCTGCAAGCCTTTCTTCTTCTAAAACAATAACAAAGAAATATTTCCAAGTGTTTTCTGTTTTTTATTAAATGCAACTATAAACCAATTATTATCATAGCTTCAGCCGTTTTAATATTTGATTGACAAGTTAAATATATCTCTGAAGCAGGCTTCCCTTGGTTCATGTGAGGTACACGCATTAAAATTCGGATCAAAACGAACCAAATATATCTACAGTTGATAAAAGTAAGGAAAATTGTCCTTACTTTGTGTATATATATGAGCAATGTCTCTATAAACATGGAAAATTTGATTTATCAAAATTTGTTAGCATAGAAATATTGTAAATATTAATCACATGGATTCGAATATTTATAATATATATGCTATGTATTTATTAGTAATTTCTACAACTCCTATAGCACGTACGAAGTAACTAGATCCCTGTTACGCTATTTGAGTATATAGGTGAAACTATGCACTGTTAAATTCCATGTAGGGGGGGGGGGGGGGGTTGAATGGGACGAATATGGGGAAGGAAAGTTGTATATTGATGGGAATACGAGTTAGGAAAATTCAGGAAAGGGGAACGAGGGAACGTGAATCTAAATAAAGAAGAGATAAAAAATCAAATTAAGTGTCGATTCCAAAACTGATTACCAGAGAACAAAATAGCAATAGAAATTGCGATCCTCTGGAATTTTTTATTTTCATTTCCTGATATTTATTTGACTAGATAAAGATTTAAGCACTTCTCTAGGTCCTGCTTGTATCAGCAGAAATTCACGTCTCATCTACATCGTCTCTCCTTACACACATCTTTCTTACCTCTAATTCCCCAGCTTCCCAAACTACATCTACATAATTCTCTAACCTCAACTCACATGATCTCTAACCTATTCCTTTCCAGCTCTCCAACCTACTCCTCTCAAGGTCTTTAACCAACTCTTAAACCAACTCATCACTGACTCTCCGAACTACTCCTCCCCAGATCTCCAACCTACTCCCTTCTAGCTATATAGTCTACTCCTCCCTAGCTCTCCGGCCTACCCCTCCCATGATCTACACCTAATTCTCCTCAGCTTTCTAACCTACTTCTCCTTAGCTCTCTAACCTACTCATCCCCAGCTCCATAGCTTACTTAAGTACTTCTCCTGATTATCTAAACTTCTCCTCCCAACCTCTAACCAACTCTTTCAGCTCTCCAAACTACTCCTCTCTAGTTTTCTCGATAACCTACTCATCCCAGCTCTCCAACCTACTCCTCCCCAGTTCTCTACTCTTTAACCTACTTATCCCCAGCTCTCCGACCTACTTCTCGTTAGATCTCCAACCTACTCCCTCCTAGCTATTAGCCTACTCCTCCTATGTTCTCCTACCTTCTCCTCCCCAGATATTCAACCTACTCTCTCCGAGACATACAGCCAACTCCTCCCTAGCTCTCCGACCTACTTCTCACTACCTCTCCGACCTACTCATTCCTAGCTCTAAGACCCACTCATCCCAAGCTCTACACCTTAAACTCTTCAGCTTCCCAACCTATTCTTTTCCAGTTATCTTCTCTTACCCTACCTATCCTATCCTCAGCTCTCCGACCTACTCCTCCTCAGATCTCCAACCTACTTACTCCTAGCTTTACAGTCTACTCCTCCCCAGCTCTCCGACCTACTTCTCCCCAACTCTGCGACCTACTCCTCCACCAGCTCTCCGACCTAATTATCCCTACCTCTCTAACCAACTTCTCCCTATCTCTTTAACCAACTTTTACCTTTCTCTCCACCAAACTTCTCCCTACCTCTCCGACCAACTTCTCCCCAGCTCTCCAACCTGTACTTAGCCCAACTTCTCTAACCAACTTTTCCCTATCACTCCAACCAACTTCTTCCAACATCTCCAACCAACTTTGATCCCTACCTTTCCAACCAACTTCTTTCTACTTCTCCAACCAACTTCTCCCTATTTTTCCAACCAACTTCACCCTATCTCTCTAACCAAATTCTCTCTACCTCTCCATCCAACTTCTCCCTACCTCTCCAACCAACTTCTCCCTATCTCTCCAACCTACTTCTCCCTACCTCTCTAACCAACATCCCCAGCTCTCCAGCCTATACTCCTCCCTAACTCCTGAGCTTACTTTTACCAAACTCCCAAATTTACTCCAAACTGACTTTCTTAGTCTATTTTCTCATTTTCATGCCCTTTCCAACCCTTCAGCTTTCTTTTCCCTAAGTATGTTGCCTTTACGAGTAACCTTCTACAAAATAGACAACACAACATAGATAATGTTACATTTAAAGAAATGCATTTGGTTCCACCTAAAATTGTATTGAATGTTTCAAGATTTATGCCGGCCGCTGCACTCAATTGAAACCGGTTTTTGGCGGATTGGAGACGCGGCTCAAATTCATTAAATTCGGACTCAGAATACCTTTTACAAACTGAGTTTTTGTCACAAACTCTACTTTTCTAATCTCTATATCTTTGCTACCCAATGTCGTAGAACTTTGATATTTCAAACTATGAATTCTGTTATACCAAATAATCTAAGTTTAAAATATCAAAGGTTTACATTATAAGATTGTAAAGATATAGGGATTAGACAATTTGAGTTTGTGACAAAAACTCAGTTCCTTAATTAGAAAGAAGGCGTGATCGAATACATAATATCATTTAAACGTTTAACTATCATAAGATGACCTTATCTTAACATTTCAGTACAAAATTTTTTAAATGATTCAAAATATTATTAAAAATAATTACCGAAAATCTTTAAATAATTGAATATTTACTAAGGATTATTTGTTAATTAAACGCTGCATTCATGAAATTAAAAAATGTTGCTTAATTAAGATCTTAATGTTGGAAGTAGTGTCACAGTGCGTGATCTAACGATTTTTTGTGTAAGATCAAATATACATTAAATTAGTTTGACTATGATTGATACTGTTTTTAATCCATGAGAAATGAGTTCTTTCTCCAATTTTCCCAACTTTCCTTCCCTATTAAATGATATTAAAACTCACACTGTCTGGTACTTGTTACAAGGGGGTCAGTTAATAAGAGAGGAAAGGGGTTTAGGACAATAATCCTCATATATAGATATACTGACGACTGTTCTAAAAATGGATTTATACTTCAACATAATTTTGTTTGGGATTCCAGTTTTTAAATATATAATTGATAAGATAAAATTGGAACTTTTTATAAACTCTGGATCAACTTCATAATTTTCCTTTTAAATATTTTTTGTGAATACGCTGGGGTACTCATTCATTAGGACATATGTCCCAGCTCAAGTAATAAGAAACAGTAAAAAGAGAAAACTTTAAACTTTTGACTTGAAATTCTCTAGGTTCAACATTTCCTTGATTTTCTTTTGAACAATTTCTTTTGCCTAAGTTTCTTGGAATTCCGAAAATTCAATATTTTAAAGAAGCTATCTTTAAGCAGATATGCACAAACAGTTTGATGTTTTTATTCGTTTCAGTTTTTGTTCATTAACTTTAAACTTGAAATACACTGCACACTCTTTCAGGTTTTGTTTAGTTTTCTGAATATAAATGTCATAATTTGTAATTCAATTATAAAAAATCTTATGTATTTCTTAATTTTCAGGTTTGGAGTAGAGAAAGCAAGAAAATCTGATTTGTTGAGCAGGTTTACTACACCTGGCTCCAACTAGTTCAGTTGCTCCATTACACAGCTAACTCCAAAGTCTTCATTGCTCTGAACATTATAACAGAGCTTAAAGTTAAAATTAATTTTGACAGACATACAGTTTACACGTGCAAATACTTTTCATGAATTTTTGACAACAGGCTGACTGTGAAGAGTCGCCAGGCCTTATCCATTGATTTCCTAACAAGACTTTTTTATGGACCTGAATATAAAGAATGTAAAGCTACGAAGTGTTCGTTTCTAGCTTCAGTTTTGAAGAAGAATTTGTCAAAAATCCTTCGGACGTATTGTAGTTGACAGTGTTGAACCGACAAGAAAAATATAAATAAACATTTTCTGCTACTTTGAGGGAAAACTGTAAGGAGAAATACTGTTGATGTTTGTGAAATCTATGAAGACACACAGTTTACATGTGTTTACACAAGGAACTTTGGTCAAATAATTTTGAAACTTTTGATCTGTCTCTATACCTGTTTCCCAGCTTTTGTTATCACTCACATTTATTACAAATTATTTTTTAAGAAAAATGTTTTAAATATAAGGTGTTTAAGCACACAATTCTTAATGATATTACTGTAATCGTAATTAATTTGTAATGATTTATTTTCCATTGATTGATTATGGATTTGTAGCTATAACATGGAGTAAATAAGACTTCAGAGCAGTTTGAAGTTTTCCATTTTGAATAGGTTGAGATCATGTCACTTGAATTTATTAGTAACTCTAAAGTGGAAGATTCTATGGATCTAAATTAATTTATAGAATGTACAAGAGGGAAACTGTAGCAGTTAAGAGAAGTAAAGTATTGGCTAAGAAACATATCGGAACAATTGAGGACATTATGAATATAAAAATATGAGAGTATATAATAATTTTCAATAATTTCTGTTTATTTGTATTCTGTTTTTTTTTCATTTTATCTCAACAAATGCCAAAGGTAAAGTTTTTTCTTCAATATTTACAATATAGGATGAATTCAAACTGAGCCAAAATAGCAAACTTCAAACTGTCACAACTTACTCAATCTTATAGTGCTACAAACTAAAAATTATGTCAAGTGCTGCAATGTCCTATAGAAAGTGTATTTTAAACATAAACGAAAACAGAATAATATCGCCAGATTCCATGACAAGAGGATAATACAAATTCTGGTTTGTGTCCCCTGAAGCACCCGCCCAGCTGCCCTGTAAATATGATAGATGTTGATTAAATGATCGGGAATATACAATATATAATTTACAACGCAGAATATATGATACATCATATGGAATATACAATATACAAAATACAATATAAAAATAGATATATACATAATACAATAGATATATATGTTATACCATAAAAAACTAAAAAACAATATAAAATATATAAGTCTTAATTTATCTGAAATTCAAGGGCGTATCTATTTTATTTAAAATTGGCCTCTGGAAATAGGTTTTTGGGATTTCTCTTTGAACCGGGAAGATGCGACAACTATTTGAAGTGATTCTAATCCTTTCCCTCTTTCAATCTTCGCTTCCAGGTATTTATTAAAGATTATAAAAGAAATGATAAGTCACGCTACTTCGATTTGGTCTTGCAGTGCCAGCAACACAATTTGACCTATTTAACATACATTTTTCGCATTTCCGTATTTCTACTTTTTGGCAGTGAATGCGTTTTAGATGAAAATGATAAAAAATAAAAAGGCTGTTCAATCGCGTTTTGATCTATGATTAGATTCAAATTGGAGAAACCGAACAAAAAAACTGTGTTTATGTTTTAATTTCCTAATAAGTAGTATTTTTAGCTTCTTTCTTCGGTTCAAGTTTTGTTTCTCTTCCCCTTCAAGATGCCAAAAGTACAACAGAGGTTTCATTCAGGTATTATGAAAATTTATTATGTTATCATAATCATACCAATTAAAATATTAGAATTTTATTTTATGAAATGTAATGCATCGAAAAATGTAGAATCTCAAAAAATATAGATTATGCGGAAGATTGAAATTTTATAGTGTGTGCACTTTTTAGAAGAATTTAAAAAAAAAATATTGTGTTTTGTTTCAATTAATTTAAAAGAATTAATAATGAAAATTGTTAAATGGTGTTCTTGTGAAGTTAAATATGTATGGAATATTGAATAATGTTTAGGTTTCGAACCTCCCGCTCCGAGTCCTTGTTATTTCTTGTGGCAGGGAAGACAGATTATTGTTTGATAATGCTACAGCAGGGGATCATAAAGGTATTGATATTTAACTTTCATTCTTTAAAAACAAAACTATTTGCAGAGGCATCAATATTGCAATTATATAGTTGGATGATATAAAAGTAATCATAAACCTAGAATCAATCAAAATTTATCAATTTTATATTTTTAAGTAGAAAATTTACTTTTAAAGTCACAAAATAAAATTTTTGAAACAATTTATTATTACCATAGATTCACATCAATTTGGGAGCAGGCGAAACAGAGGTTTCTAGTCCGCTTAATATCAGGTATATTCGAGCACTAATATGTCAAAGCCCGCGATTTTAAAAAATCGGGAAAATACGGCTCGGGTCTAAGCTGTCGTTGGGCCTTAATTACGGCTTGAGCTTTCGGATTCAAGCTGAATCTTGTTTTCCACAGAGTTGAATTCAAAAAACCGGTTTAATATTCTATTTGGCGGATTTTCATGGCGCATTCTTAGTTTTTATGAGAAGAAGATTCAACATTGAGCCTTATTCTCCACTAAAACCAACCAAGGTCGGTTTTATTTTCATTGGGCCAAACTCCCTAAGTCGAGCCGAAGATCTTTCAGCTGTCAATCACGTGACACAAGCTGTCGTCAGAGTTGGGCTGAAGATTGGGTCTAAAGTCGGGTTTAAGGAATTACGGCTCGAGCCCAAGTTTTTGAATCGCGGGCTCAGGTTTATTTATTAACTCGGCTTTTAGCATTTAACCAAAACATTTTTGTCCTGAGCAAATGGTTTTAAGAGCGACAACAACAGTTTTTTTGAGTTTAAAAGTATTTTTCTTTGTGTGATCTGTTCAAAAATTTAATTTCCTTACTATTTGAACAATTAGTGGGAGAAGAATTAATCTTACACCCTTCAGTCAAATAGAAAACAGGTGGATGAGAATGGAAAAAATTTGATTAAATATTTTCTTATTTTCTTTTCACGTTTATTCAAAAAATTTAGACTTGATGATTTAAACTGGCACAGCGTTGAGTTAGAGAGAAACAATGGAGATGTACAATTATCCATTGATAGAATACACACATCAAGGTAAAGTAAATAGTTTATTAACATCTATACCATACTGCACAAATTAAATGATTTAAGTAACATACCTTAGTAATTATTTCCTAGTTCCTACGATATATTGCATAATAAAATGCTATTTATCGTTTTATAAACCTTTATAGTTTTATATTTAGTAAAGGGGCTGCCGTTGTGAATATATCTGACCCGCTTATCTGCTTATCTAAATAAATTATTATGGAAATGGAAATAAAATCCTAAAATACTATGAAAAACTAGCTAGTTCTAAAATACTATGAAAAACTAGCTAGTTCTAAAATACTATGAAAAACTAGCTAGTCCTAAAATACTATAAAAAACTAACTAGTTCTAAAATACTATAAAAACTAGCTAGTCCTAAAATACTATGAAAAACTAGCTAGTTCTTAAATACTATGAAAAACTAGCTAGTTCTAAAATACTATGAAAAACTAGTTAGTCCTAAAATACTATGAAAAACTAGCTAGTTCTAAAATACTATAAAAAAACTAGCTAGTCCTAAAATACTATGAAAAACTAGCTGGTTCTAAAATACTATGAAAAACTAGCTAGTTCTAAAATACTATTAAAAACTAGCTAGTTCTAAAATACTATAAAAAACTAGCTAGTCCTAAAATACTATGAAAAACTAGCTAGTTCTAAAATACTATTAAAAACTAGCTAGCTCTCAAATACTATTAAAAACTAGCTAGTTCTAAAATACTATAAAAACTAGCTAGTTCTAAAATACTATGAAAAACTAGCTAGTTCTAAAATACTATGAAAAACTAGCTAGTTCTTAAAAACCTGTTTAATCTGTTATAAACTCTCAATATGCTATTATACTTGAATAGCCTATAAACTGCACAGTATATATCTACCGGCCCTACAAACTTTTCAAACTTTTGTCTTAAAAAAGTTTTACCATTTTAGTAACTGCAAGTTGAAACAAATCATCAATTATGTTTCCACTGTATGCAGCATATCAATGTTTCCAAATTAAACTTATTTCTCACTTTGATCTAAAAATAAACACAAATACTTAAAGGGAGTGTTTGCGAAAAATGAAAGGGGGTATAGGCTTAAAGCGATAAAAAAGCGCTTTTGATCGATACTAACCTTACTTCTGTCTTTTGCGTCTATGAGGAGAAAATTGTTAATAACGACTAATACCGAAGAACGTAGTGTCCATACAAATTCAGAAAGATGCAACATTCAACTCGGATCGTAAACAAATCAATTTAATTCCAAACAAATCATTCAGATATTACAAACAATAGTCATCGATTATTTTTCGACGCATTCGCAAATAGTTGATATTTAATAATATTTATATTTTTCATGATCTGAGAGTTACTTTTGAAAACATTTATTCCTGTTTTGAAGATTTTAAAAAATGAAGACGACATTTTCATATTTTCCAGGAATGTTCGAAAATCCAGCGACAGCGAAAATTATTTTAATGAAACAATTATTTTTACTTCGCTCTAAAAAAATATATATATTAAATAATTTTTGAAATTCCATTTTCAAATCAGAAACTGGTCAAAACATCGCAAAACAGAAAAATGATTGTTATGGTTTAAAAAACCATACTCTAATCCTTGATTAGTTGTACAGTTAAACATATGATTTGATTGAACAGCTGAATTCTATATTCCGCTGTTGTATTTGAAAAAAATGTTAATGTGCGTTGTAGATCTCCTTTAGATAAATGGTCAATTTGGACACAAAGTATTACCTTAAGTGGATATTATAAATAATAGTAAATGTACAGTTGAATAAAAACACACAAAGTATATATACGTACAATATATATATATTTGTATATCAAGGTATACTTTGCATTTTTATTATTTTATGTTACATCTGCATTAACGTACAGAAATAAAGCATGATTAGGCATCTATCAAAAATTTAAATCTTACTACTAAAAAAGTCCACATATTTATAGATGCAAAGAAATGAAGTTTTTGCTACAAATAAGATTTTCTAATCCCTATATCTTTGCAACCCAATGTCGTAGACTTAAAATATTTCAAAGTATGGATTCTGTTTGATCAAATCATCTATGTTTAGGAAATATAAGGTTTACACCATCAGACTGCAAAGATAGGGATTAGAAAACCTGAGCTTGTGGCAAAGACTCAACTCCGTTGGAGCATGTTTAAGATAATGAAAAATTGGTTTCATTTATTTAAAATGCTGTTTCATCACTCTTCTGCACAGCTCTAAAAACCAAATAATAAATCATATTGCTAGATTTAGCAAAAGAATTTCTCTGTAAATAATCTGATGATTCCGTTGTTTCTTAAAAATAATATTTCTTTAGAGCTCAGCTGCCAGGTAGATTCTATGAATTGAATATTCACTATGGTGTATTTGTGGGGGGTATGGGTGACTTCAACGAAGTTTTCCTTGGGAACCAGAAGAACTTCAGAGGCTGTATGGAGAGTGTGTTCTTTAATGGAATAGATGTTATGGTGAAAGCTGAAGATGCTGCTTTAGCCTCAAATAAAGCCAAGGTACAGTTTTAAAAAATCTTAATTTCATATCAGGAAAAAAATTGGTTAACTATCTTTATGTAATTTTAAAGTAATTGAGAAACAGTCGATTTTACAGTAAGGTTTTAATCATTTGCAAAAAGAATGTATTTATAAACCAAAATATTCCCAATAGAACTGAGTTCTTGGTATAAAAATTAGATTATTAGATCTATCAGAGCTGAAAACTTTAGAATGGAATTCCTTAATCCTGATCGAATAATTAATCTGGAGATTAAAAATGAGAGGAGAACAAGCAATATTTAATCTCGAGATTAAGAAAAAGAGTGGATTAAGCATTAATCCCGATATCCACCATTCTAAAGTTTTCAGCTCTGAATGCATAGCTTGAAATATAAAAGGTCTACGACATCGGGTTTCACAAATATAGAGATTGAGAAATCATAATTAAAGGGAAGAAATACATCTATAACTATTTTTAATTGTATTGTCAATCAACCAAAGAGTCTTTTAAACATTCTAAAACTACAGTTCTGTGCATCCATCGGTCAAGATTTTCATGTTATAATCTTAAAAGAATTTTGTGAATTATTCTTATAAAAAGCTCCTTTACTATATTAGTTCTGAATCTGATTGATTACAAATATAAAATGATGGATTGAATGGAATTTGTGGTGGTTTATAGAACCTGATTAGGATTAGATTAGTGTAATAGTTGAACTAGGTAAAGCAGAGAGGAATCATTTCAAACTTTACAAATCCTTGCATTCTATACATTCACATTTCGCAGTCTATATTATATATTCTACTTTCTACATTCTATACATTCTAGATTCTTCTTTCTAGATTCTAAATTCTACCATCTTCATTATATGTCCTTCAATCCATATTTTTTATTTCTTATTAAAATTTTACATGTTACGTATATATATATATATATATTCAATAAAGTCAATAGTCCACATTGTATATTCTACAATCTAAATCGAACATCAATACAATTTTTTGCATTGAGGATCATCAGTTCACAAGCAACATTTCAAAGTTTGAATTTAAAGTTATACACTTTGCTTTTGCTGGGAAAACTCTTCATACAATCCTTAATCTAATTCTACTTTGGCAATTACCATTTTCCCTGTTTGGTATATCTGGTTAAATGGATTTATAAAACAGTATACTACCCATTAATCAAACACTATCAGTAAAATTTTCACTGAAGGTAAACAATATCTAGTTTATTTAACAGTGGGAGTATCCATCAAAATATGGCACGTAATTTATCAGTAGAAATAACTATCCATATTTAGGTCTATAACATCCAGTGGGAGTGCTCACCACAATTTGACTCCGGGTCCAGCGAAGCTATGGGATTCCTCAGCACTGATTCCTATGTATCCTTTCCAACCTGGATTCCCAGGTGATAGAGATAATGTTACATTTCTATTAAAGCCCAAACAAAGGAATTGAGTTTTTGCCACAAACTCAAATCTTCTGATCCCAATATCTTGGCAACCTAATGGCGCAAACCTATGATATTTCAAGCTTAGATCATTCAATATATTAGTACTAATAGTTTGAAATATCTAAGATCTACGACATTGGGTTACAAAAAATAGAGATTAGAAAATCAGAGTTTGTGGCAAAAACTCAACTCCTTTAAATAGCTATTACATAAAAAGGTGTTCCGATACAAATATATCTAAAAATTATTTTCGAACAGTTGCGTTTAATCGAAAAAAATGCACTGGGAGCTTTCTAAAAAATGTATCTAAAAAATAAGGAATTTGTTTGTTTTTTTAAATCCTGTTTTCTTTAAAGATAAATTTAATTTATCTCCTTAAATCTTTTTCACAATTTTTTCCTAATGAGCGCTTGTTTCTTGAAAACCTTCTCTAAGGTTATAAATTAATGAAAATACGGCTTGTTAACACCAATCTTATACCTATCCGAGACAGATTTTAATAATTGTGTGTTGTTGACAAACAACATACAAAACGCACAAAAACAAAATGTCCAATAACAAAACAGCCAAAACATAACACGTACCCATTAACAAAACACTCAAGATTTCAAAATGTCCAATGTTACGAAATGTCCAAACTTACAAAATATCCAAAGTTAAAAAATGTCCAAGGTGTCAAAAGATCCAAAATGTTCTAAAAATGTCAAACTATTTTATTGTTTATTGATATTGATAGTAAGGATTTAACCCACGGCTCAGTAACATAAGATATAATTTGAAAGAAAATAATTACAAAATATACAATAACAAATTAAACATATGATATAAGTAACACAAAACATAAAGTACAAAAGATTTAAGTTACAAAAGATATAATAACACGATCTATAGAAAGGCAGATGTCACAACATATATGAAATGTTATTTAGCTCATATTTCATTGTATTTTAAACATAAAAACAAAATGAGTTAAAAAATTGTAACTTTGGATATTTTTTAGTTTTGGACATTTTGGAATATCGGAAATTTTGTTATTTTGGACATTTTGGAATTTTGAACATTTTGTAACTTTGGGCATTTTGTAACTTTAGATATTTTGGACATTTTGTAGCTTTGAACATTTTGTAAATTTGGGCTTTTTGTTATCTTGGATGTTTTGTTATTTGATCGTTTTGTTTTTGGGCGATTTGTAACACTGAGCGTTTTGTTTTTGGGTGATGTGTAATTTTGGGTGTTTTGTATCCACTTCTTTCTGAATGCCAACCAACTGTTTGAAAACTTATTGATAAAAAAAAACATAAGGACTTTGTTTGCTATATAATATTGTCTTCGCTTATTTTTGTTCCGTTTTAAAATAAAACATATTACTTACTAGCTAAAGGGCCCGGCGTTGCCCGTGGAAAATTTTTTTTTTTAAAAGAGAAGAATTTCTATTTTTTTTCCACCATGATCGTGTCAGCTCATTCGGTCCAGGCGTTTTGCCGTCCAGGGGAAACATATGTACGAATGTCTCGTTTAATTATATATATGATTTTAATTAATGATTCCAGATTTATATTCTAAAAACCCGTTTAAGACTATAAAAAGGCACAAAATGAGTTTAATAAAGATATGTATATATATATATATATATATATGTAATATACAAATACCCCAGAGTCTTGATATAATTATCTAATCTTCTAGCAATACTTGTCTGTTCTAGGAGCGGAGGACAGGTTGCATTCTCAGTAAAAACCATCTCGTCCAGTGCTGTTCTACTCTACAATACTGGGCATATTACTAGCCAGGATTTCATCGCTCTGGAGATTCATAGGTGAGGTTAAAAAGATAATATGGTTTAACTCTTTTACATAATCTTATACTATATAATAAGATTTTCTCTATTTAGATAAAATTGTTTCTTCTGTCTAGATAAGCCTAGATAAGCTGATTTCCTCTCTCTAGATAATCTGGTTTCCTTTCTCTAGATAATCTGGTTTCCTCTCTATATATAATCTGGTTCCTCTCTATAGATAATCTGGTTCCTCTCTATAGATAATCTGGTTCCTTTCTCTAGATAATCTGGTTTCCTCTCTCTAGATATTCTGGTTTCCTCTCTCTACATAATCTGGTTCCTCTCTCTAGATAATATGGTTTCCTCTCTCTACATAATCAGGTTTCCTCTTTCTAGATAATCCGGTTTCCTCTCTCTACATAATCTGAGCTGGGAACTTTTGAATGGGGGATATCAGAATTAAAGCTTGATCCACTCTCTTTCTTAATCTCCAGATTAAATAATGCTTGTTCTCTTCTTTATATTAATCTCCAGATTAATTTTCCCCACCGGGATTAAGGATATTCCATTCTAAAGTTTTCAGCTCTGGTTCCTCTCTATAGATAATCTGATTTTCTTTTTAAAAGATAATTTTGGTTCCTTACTTTGGATAGCCTAGTTTTCTCCGTCTAGATAATCTGGCTTCCTTTCTCTCGGTAATCTGGTTTTATTTCTCAAGATCTTCTGGGTTCCTCTGTTTAGATTATAATTTTCTTAATTAAGAGAATCTGGTGTCCTCTTTTCATATAGTTTCCTCTTTGGCAGTTTAAATAATCTTATTTCCTCTCTTTATATAATCTAGTTTCCTCTACCCGGTTTACTCTCTCTAGATAATCCTGGTTTCTCTCTCTAAATAATCTGGGTTACTTTCTCTATATAATCTGGTTTCCTCTCCCCAATCTTGTTTACTCTCTCCAGATAAACTGGGTTCCTCCCTTTCTCTATATAATCTTGTTTCCTCTCCCCAATCTTGTTTACTCTCTCCAGATAAACTGGGTTCCTCCCTCTCTCTAGATAATCTGGTTTTCCCTCCTTGTATAACCAAGTTTACAGTGTTGAATAGAAAACTAATCGTATATATCTGGATTTGCCGGGTCAGATATTTCTATGTTGTGTTTATACATATTTTAGAAACCACTTTAAATCTTCATACACTTTTTCACTTCTGTGCACTGTTTTTGATAACCTTAAAAGTCATGTTTCATCATTTTATTATTTAAAACATTAGAGGGAAACTTCGGCTTCTGATGGACCAAGGGAATGGTTTATCTGAGCTAGAGCACACCCGGGGTATATCTGATGGAACCTGGCATAACCTGACCATCACCTTTAACTCCGATCTGCTCGAGCTAATTGTGGACGGAAACTCTGAGATAAAGAAACCAACCAAGGGTCCACAAAAGCACATCGACCTCACTGACAGGTAAATACTGTAAATATGGTAAATATGGTAAATATGGTAAATATGGTGAATATGGTAAATAAGGTAAATCTATATATAAATTTGGCTTGTCTGTCTGTCTGTCTGTCTGTTTGTATCCAATAAACGTCAAAACAACTAAACCGATCGGGCCCAAATTTTTTGTGGGACATCTAGGGACCCCAGGGAAGGTTTATGAATGATTGAAATTTTAAATATTTGTCTCCATCAAAATTCGATCTTCATTAAATTTTTTAAAAATTTTGAAAATCCACGAAATTTTTTTGAAAATCCGCGAATTATTTTTGTTTTGTTTTACGATGTACACATAGAGAACATGTTCACAATTAATTTAGAAGATGGGCGCGAAGCGCCCTCTAAGGCTAGTAGGATAAATATGGTAAATAGGATAAATATGGTAAATAGGGCAAATATGGTAAATATGGTAAATATGGTAAATATGGTAAATAGGGTAAATATGGTAAATAGGGTAAATATGGTAAATATTGTAAATACGGTAAATTGGGTAAATATGGTAAATAAGGTGAATATGGTAAATATGGTAAATAGGTTAAATATGGTAAATAGGGTAAATATGGTAGTGTATTGTTTAAATCTAAATTCAGATTACTGACACTGCAAGCCTGAAGTGTATTTGATATTTATGCATAAATTCTGCCAATATATCGTTGAATATTTTATATCTGAGCACAACTCTCTATTTTACTTTATTTACTTAAATTCTGTAAAGATTCACTAAACCACTGACATAGATAAAAATTAGAAAATAAGATTTAAAATGCATTATTTAGTTAGACAAAAAAGTTTTAAAAACCCACTATGTTTATACAAAACAAAGAAATTGGGAAAATTGTAAATTATTTATAAGTATTTACAAATACAGTAGAAAATGATCACATGCATAATGAACTATTTTCCTGTAAACAATGTAATCTCCGTGATTGTTTCTAAATTATTCATTCTAATGCATAAAATTGACTTTTAAGGTTATACATTGGTGGTATAGTACTAAAGAAGAAAACAAGAGCTATAAAGGATGGTGTAAGATCGGGTAGCTCAGGGCTCCAGGGGTGTATAAAGCAGATACAACTGGACGGACGAAGGATCGGGTTTCCTGAAGTGATGGAAACTATGGAGATCAGATCTGGATGTATTTGGGACTTCCCTTGCTCCAGGTAAGGGTTTGGTTATTCATAAAAATTGTAAGGATTAATAAAAAAGCTTATCTATCTTCTCTTAATCGTCTTCAGATATAAAAATGAATGGATGAATGAGAATTTTAGATTGGATTTAATTAGATCAATTTCGTTGGTTTGTTTAAATTCTCTAAATTGTTTTCTGTACCCGGTACCCTTTACCCTTTCTACCCTAGGGATCCCTGTACGAGTGATGAGGTGTGTACACAGAACGGTATGACCGGTCATTCTTGTAGCTGCTCCAACCCACCCTGTAAGGACAATTCAGCTTCCCCCCATGGTAAGTTTTCTTGAAATTAATTTATTGATTAATTAATCCAACTTTTTACAACAATTCATACAATTTATTTCTCTACTTTCAACCATTATCATCATTACTTTTTTATTTAATTTTCGTTAATTGTTTTTCCACTTCCATCTCTCCCTTTCTCCAAGGGTTTATAGTTCCTCCGGAAGAATTTAGCTATACGGCCAAAAAAGTTTTATTGGAGAGATTTACCCACCCCACAGTGAGGCTTTAAGTTTACTCCTTCAATAAATGAAGTTTGTGTCAGAGATGAAATTAATTCTACGCTAAAGAGGGGATCAAATGTAAAAAAAATCAAAATCCGGGACAAAGGAAATCCTGACAAAATCCACATTTAAGATTTGGAGAAATTCAGGTTTCAGTCCTGATTTTACAGATGACTATTTTAGGACAAATATATATAAGTACAACCCTTTTAATTTTTGCCGTATTTGGGGTGTCATAAAACTTGATATTTCATCTAAAACGACTCTGACTGGCAGTTTCTGCGAAAGGCTAACAAAATTTTAGATTACATGGAGAAAAAACAATTATGCAATTCTCTGTATTTTATGAAACAAATGATGAAACTAATTAAATGTGCAAAATTGTTAACAGTAATATCTCAGAAGTGCCTGATGTTATATGATCAGAGCATAGTTTCTCCAAATATCCAGAGCTGAAAACTTTAGAATGGGATATCCTTAATCCCGACCGGTTAATTAATCTGGAGATTAATAACAAGAGGAGAACAAGCATTATTTAATCTTGAGATTAAGAAAAAGAGTGGATCAAGCCTTAATCCCGATATCCACCATTTAAAAGTTCCCAGCTCAGGATGATTTATCCGGCCCAACCTTCCAATGAATGCAGAAACTTGTTATAATCTTAATGAGTTGACTTTAGATCCGTGGCTTAGGTGATATATTCCCAGGTTTAGATGAAAACTTCTCGGCTTAGATGATAAAAATCTAGGTTCATATGATAAACTTCTAGGGACAGATGATTAACTTCTAGGTTCAGATGATAAAATTCTAGGTTCAGATGATAAACTCTAGGTTCAGATGTTAAACTCATAGGTTTACATGATTCACTCCATGATTCAGGTGATAAACTACATCAAGACACGTTCAGGGAACACCTTATTCAAGACATGCTTACCAAGAATCCCAAAGATGGAATGAATATCACCTGGTTTGATTATAGTTCATCCCCTGAATCATGGAGTTTATCACTAAAACAATGCAATTTTCATTCAAACCATGGAAGTTTATTCCGTAAACTACAGAGTTTATCACCTGAACTATGGAGTTTATGATCTAAAATGTAGAGTTTATCATCTAAACCATGGACTTTATCGCTTGAACCTTTGACTTAAACATCCTAACCATGGAATATTTCATCTATACCAAGAAGTTTAGTATCTAAACCTTGGAGTTTTATAACACCTGCATTGTTGGGTTAATCATCTAAACATTGGAGTTTATCTCCTGAACCATCCATCCTTTTATTTAAAAACCTCAAAGATTATCAATTGAACCTTAGAGTTTTGCAGATATATCTCAGTGTTTGTCAACTGAACCATGGTGTTTTTATTTAAACCAAGGAGTTTTTAGTCAAGCCAAAGAGTTTTTTCGATTGAACCATGGTTTTTTTCACCTAAACCATGGTGTTATCATTTAAACCAAGGAATTTTTCATCTAAACCATGGTGTTATCATTAAAAACCAAGGAATTTTTCATCTAAACCATGGTGTTATCATTAAAACCAAGGAATTTTTCATCTGAACCATAGAGTTTTTTATCTAATCCATTGTGTTCATCATTTCAATCATGGAGTTTTCTATTCAATACATAAAGTATTCATCTAAACCATGAAGTTTTTCATCTAAACCATGATGTTTATCATTTAAACCATGTAGTTTTTCATTTATACCATGTAGTTTATCACCTGAACCATGGAGTTTACCATCTAAACCTAGATAATTATCATCTAAACCATGGAATTCATTATCTAAGCCACGGATCTAAAGTCAACTCATCAAGCTTTTAACAAGTTGTGACTTTATCTGGAAGGTTGGGATACATCATCCTGAGGAACACTGTCTGCTCATAACATCAGGCAGTTCTGAGAGATTATGAAAACAATTCTGCACTAAAAAAGAGAAATATATAAAATTTTCCTCGTTTGTTTGAAATAAAAAAAAAAGAATGTGTGTTTAATTTTTCTTCTTCTTGTAATCTAAATTGTGTAAGCGTAGCGCAGAAACTGCCAATTAAAGGCGTTTTAAACGAAATATCATTTATATGACTCTCCAAAAATCATAACGGTCGTACTTCTACATATTTGTCCTGAAATAGTTGTGCAAGAATATATTGAACTTTCCAGTATCTGTGCAATCAGGACTAAAACTTGAATTTCTTTAAATCTTGTCTCGGTCCCAGATTTTGAATTTTTACATTTTGAACTCAGGTTGACCCTCTCTTTATCATAGAATTAATTTCATATCTGAGCACAAACTTCATGTCTTGAACGGGTTAAGCCTTGCTGTGACCCAGTGGTATTTTGATACACTCAGCAGGGGAATTCTCATACACCCAGGGGGATTCTGATACACCTAGGGAGTTTCTGATTTGTCCATGGAGATTATGATACACCAACGGAAGTTCTGATACACCCAGTTGGATTCTGATACACCTAGGGAGTTTCTGCTTATGATTCACCGAGGGAGATTATGATACACCAAGGAAGATTATGATACACCAATGGAGATTATGATACACCAAGGAAGATTATGATACACCAAGGGAGATTATATGATACACCAAGGAAGATTATGATACACCAAGGGAGATTATTATACACCAAGGAAGATTATGATACACCAAGGGAGATTATATGATACATCAAAAGAAATTATGACACACCAAGAGACATTATATGATACACCAAAGGAAGAATGATACACCAAGAAAGATTATGATACACCAAGGGAGATTATGATACAACAAGGGAGATTATGATACACCAAGGGAGATTATGACACACCAAAAGACATCATATGATACACCAAGGGAGAATGATACACCAAGAAAGATTATGATACACCAAGGGGGATTATGATACACCAAGGGAGATTATGATACAGTATCTCCCTAACACTTCCATTCCATCCATGCCTATAGCTAACATATCCCACTCCACGTATTATGACACTAAGTTTGATGTTCTTTGAATACTAAACACACGGTTATCTGCATTCATCTTGGAGAAACAGTTAATCACAAACATCTGTATATTTATGCAAGTACTGATTAAACCAACTCAGCAAAAAAGTAATCTTTCCCTGCAACTAATTTTAAATATTTAATAAATTATTTACACTGGCGCGCACACGCTAGCGCTGTGTTCGACAAATAAAATGTTTGTCCGAACACATGGGTCGACCCGTTATACACTCTGGTTCGACCTGTTGAACGAGTTGAACACTCTAGTTCGACCTATTGCACGAGTTGAACACCCTGGTTCGACCTGTTGAACGATTTGAACACCCTGCTTCGACCTGTTGTACGAGTTGAACACTCTGGTTCGACCTGTTGAACACTCTAATTTGGCTTGAGATTGTTATAACAATCTTTAAGGAATGGCTAGCAAAGATTTTCTGGATAAAGTTGCTGTTCGCTTTTGATCAGTTACAAAAACAACTATTATACGTTTTTTGGGGGAACAAGTCAACATATAATTAGTGCAGTGGAGTAAATGGTACAATTAATTCGGTAATTCTTTTATAGACAAAAACTAAATTTTCTAATGATTTATAAATTAATAACAATCACAGGTATTTTAAAAGATGATTATTATATTACGTTACAGCATTTAAATCATATAAGAGCATATATATATTTACTTCACCGTTCACCTCAGCTATGAAGTAGGTTTTATAAACAGAGACACCTGAGGTTTTTTCAGATTCTGAAAATAGACTATGTCTAGACCAAGCATTTAGATTTTTAGAAATCCCTGTCGAGGCCTTTTTGAGAAAATTCCATTTAAACTTTGTTGTGTAGTTTAGACTGAAAAAAAGGCATTTTCATGAGAATATAAGGCAATCCAAAGTGATTTGAGCTTTTCTGCATAATTTGTGTCCTAAACAGTTTAATGGTCATTAAAAAGAAAAAAGAAAAAAAATCTACCTCAGCTGTTCAATAGAATCTTAGGCTTGCGAATTAATTATCGCACATTTAGACTCAGATTTTGGGTCTGTTGAGTGTTTACATATCAGGTTAGACCTTTACAGCAGAAATGTTTGACACAAGAGTAACATTAAGATTTAATAAGTTCTGATAGACTTTGATATAGATGCTTGAGTACATCCTACTGCAGTAAAGAGTATGTTTTAATTCCTTGCCTTGTCCAGTAGACTCTTAAAAATCAAGAGATTTCTGCGAAGAGTACCAACAGTTTTCTTTGTTAGTATATGGGGAAAAATGTCAAGGATTATTTGACCTTTAAATATTGTAAATCTTGATCCAACATTAATGTAATAAATACCAAATGGCCGATAAGTTAACCAGAACAAACAGCTGAGGATTTTTTAAAGTCCAGGTACTGTGAGACGAGATAGAGATGAGAAGAACTTTTACAACTCATATGATTAAAAACTGCAGGAGTTGGACTTCATTTTTTGTATGTATGGCTACCACTATAAGCAACATTAGAGCATTTATTTCAAAGAAAAGTTTTACAGTCTGAAAATAAAGTTTGGGTTTAAATGAAAACGTGTGCATCTTAACCGTTTTACAAGTCATCTTATTTTTTGCAGTGCAGATTTAGCCGCCTGCATTGATTTTGAAGCGTTCTGAATGTCCACCAAAGAGAAAACTAGATTTATACATCAAAATGTGCTTGGTTAATTTCTTCCTATTTGTTAATTCTACATTGCTAAATTTAATAGTCTATCATCTTGTCAAATTCCAGAAAATTTGGTGCTTGATTTTAATAGTTAGGTACGCGTCTTCAATTTCTCTGTTAGGGACGAAGAACTAGGGTTGCAATTTTCATGAATATTCGAAAATTTTAGCAAGTAAACTGAAAACATAATTTGCCTTTTTTACTGAACACACTCCCCACACACTCATCACACCATCCACACTCCCCACACACTCATCACCCCATCCACACTCCCCACACACTCATCACCCCATCCACACTCCCCACACACTCATCACACCATCCACACTCCCCACACACCCCATACCATGCCACACTCCCCACACAATTAACACTGTCCACACCATCCACACTCCTCACACCATCCACACTCCCTAACACTTCAAACGCCCAACACAATCCACACTCCCTAACACTTCCCACAATTACTCTCCACTTCCCACCATTTTTCGGGAAGATATATTGGGTGAGGACAGGAAGTGACAGGAAGTGACAGGAAGTTACCGCAAAACCATGTATGTAAGTCAATTGCAGGATGGAAGCTTTTTTTCTTAAACATGGCAACGATTAAATGCTATTCAAAACAGCAATGAATTTCAACTGTGTTTATTTACGAAAAAATATAATTTGATTTTTTGAATTTTTTTTTGTATTAATCAACGTTTCGTAACAACCCTGTAACAGACTATGTACATATTTGAAATTATGCCTGCATCGCATAAACTGGTTTTAGGGCCTGGTCCGGATTGGACGAGATGATACTCTATCATAAATTTATCATATGATGATAATATTGTAGCATAAAAACTCAAAATGTTTCGGGTTTCCTAATAAGCTCGCAAAAACTTTTAAGTCAAACGCTTTTCTTCAGTCTAAACTACACATTAAAGTTTAAATGGAATTTTCTCAAAAAGGCCTCGATAGGGATTTCTAAATGCAAGGTCTAGACATAGTCTATTTTCAGAATCTGAAAAAACCTCATGTGTCTCTGTTTTTAAAACCTAATTTATAGCTGAGGTGAACGGTGACTTTGCTTGTCTGTTTGTTTGTATGCAATAAATATCAAAACGGCTGAACCGTCCGGGCCAAATTTAGTGTGGGACCTCACGTGACCCCAGGGAATGTTTATGAATGATCAAATTTCGAAAATGTGTTTAAACATTTTAACTTTTGTAAAATTTTAAAAATGCGCAAAAAAAATTATGAAATCCGCAAACTTTTTTTATACTGTACAACTGTACAAAGAGAAGAATCTCACAGATAAAGCCACGACTAAAAGCTGAAATAGAAGATGGGCGCGAAGCGCCTTAATAGCCTAGTTGTATAAAAACAAATATGATTAATTTTTTAAGTGAATTATGCAGTAAAATAATAAGGAATTTTTCAAATTAAACACTTAGAAGCCTGAAAAACGACTATTCCTACGTTATTGATCAGATAAAGTTTTCAAGAGTACCGTTGTAAACAGCTTTTGCATTTAGGGTCACTTGAATTTACGCGCGCTTAAAGTCCCTTTACATTGTAATGAATCGTTATAGTACTGCGTACAATCTGACTGCGCAGATAAATGCTGCTCTGGTTTACAAGTATAAACTTTGTTTAATATTAAACCATGAAGAGGATAAATGTTTAGTGAACTTTACACAATTTTTCTTTTCAACCCCGCCAAAATGGAAGATATCTTTGTATTTCTTTATCTAAGAATAACAGAGTAGAACAGTGATTCATTCAAGAATATTTATTAAACACAATGTTCAGAGAAACTATAAATTTTACAACATATTTTCCCCTCGATAATTCTTTCCCGTTAAAGGCATATATTCCAAACCATTGAATTTACTTACAGACAGTTTTAAAGTTACAGGTTCAACAGATGTTTAAAGCAAGTTTTTACTTAACAATAAATTCAGTTTTCACATAAAAAAAGGAAATTTTTGTATAACAGGTGGTAAAAAGATATAACCTGATGCAAAAGTTAACGTTTTCTTTCATTAGGTACAATGTATGGTAAACTTATGCGCTTTATTTTTCTATGCATGGACCATCCGACCTCTTTCTAAGTCTATGCCCCTTCTCCCTTGGGTAAAATGGTTGAATTCTTTCTCTGTAAGGGAACTTGGTAAAATTTATTCCAATTTTCTTCATTTTTTCCAATATAAACTTTGGCGAAATTAATCAAGCTTTAAAGTTAGTTGACTCAGTGTGTTAGGAGAAGAACCGAGGAGGGTGCAACTTTATTTATTTTTAAATTATAATTATTTTTTCTCTTTCATCGACTAAATAGTAAGATTTTGTTAACATACATCGCGAGCAATAATTTTCATTAATATGTAATAAGTCATATTCAGTAAACTTAGATTATGTCAAGTTCCGTTGACACACGTTGGCAGTCTCGTTAAATACATGTAATACAAGAAGGATAGTTAGCATGTAAAGGAATGGAGTGTTTACCACAAACTCTGATTTTTTATTCCCTATATCTTTGCAACCTACAGTTGTAGACCTTAGATATTTTAAACTATAAATTCTGTTATTAGATCAAATACTATGAGTTTGAAATATAAAAGATTTCCACCATCAGGTTGTAAAAAGATAAATGGATTACAAGATTTGAGTTTGTGGCAAAGACTCAACTGTTAAGTATAGATTCTTTTAGTCTTTAAAACGTTTAAACTAAGCTAAATGGATAAGTGTGCAGAACTGAATTCTGTGCAATAGATTCAATTTGTAGTCCAGACTGTTCCCAAATATTATTTGAATTTATTTTCATACAGCTCAAATTACTCTGAAAATTGATACAATTTCAACAATACACAAATGTAAAAATTCAACTAACATATTTCAAGTATAGGTTTTTGTAGAGAAAAAATAGAATATGCTTAAATAATAAGTTGATGCTGAAAGCGAAATACCCCTTATGCATTTACTGTCTATACGTACCTCCCCCCCCATAGTCCATCTTTTCTATCCACACGGAGCTTCTAACTCATAGTTCAGATCTTATATCAATGTATGTTTGTATGTAAGTTTATATGAAGAGAGATCCTCTGAACAACTTTTAATTCAATTCTAAGCAAAAGAAAAGTTTGGTTTAGACAATAGAAAAGTCGTTTTCTAATTTGGACACACTCTCTGAAACAAAAATAAACTTTATCTGAGTCTTATTTAGTTATAGATTTAGATTTAGAACACCTTTTTTTCCGGGATGTATAATGTATATATTGTGCAACATATTTTTTTTCTTGTCTTGATAAACTTTTTCCTAAATTTTTTTGTTTCATTTTAATATGAAATATCTTTATATAACAAGTCTAGATTTTGTCCGAATCTCATTAAAATCTAGCTTATATATATTTTTTTCTAGATCCAAATATTTTCCGAAATTTAATGTTCTTAAATAAATCATGCAAGAATATTCTAGATTTTATAAATATCTTCGTTGTAGCAAAAAACTGAATCTTTTTTTAAAAATGTATTAAAGAAAACCTTAGAACTGGTGCAAGGCGGATTTGAGGATTTTTATCAATAAAGTGCCCCTAGTAAAGTTCCCCTAATAAAGTTTGAAATAAGATACAAAAACTTTATAGATATTTTTTTCTTAGCTGGAGATTTCCTGGAAGTTTCTCCCGTTGAAGTAGCAGAGGGTGGAGAGGTTCTGATATCTCATGAAAATCTAAAGGTCCTCCTAGATTACAAGAAACTAGGTAGGATTTATATCATTTAAAGATTAATTTCATCTCGCCCAGGCCAGAATCCCTGATAAATATACTGAACTTTGGCGGAGAAAAGTTTAAATTAAAACTATTCTTTTCCTATAGTTTAAAAGATTTAATGAAAAGGTTGAAGTTTATACAGTTCAAACCCTGCTTGGGACTCAAAGCATTCAAACGACTATTTAGTTTACAAGACCAATATTCAGGGCTTACAATACATCCATATAACAACGAATATTCGAAAACAGAGTTTCTTACCATACAATCCCTTCGTGTAAATTATTTCAGGATTTTAAACCATGTTTGAAATGCTTTACTTAAACAAATCTTGGTTTAATGAATGTAATAAACTACTTTTTAAAGATGTTTATTATTCGTCATCAAATAAACAAAGTTAGATATTAATCTTCTAAACATTACTAAACAATGTTTAATTTCCGGCATTAAACATTTAATATCAATATTTAATATTTCAGGAATACCGGAAAGAGAAATCTACTTTCATATCATAGAACCTCCTGCACAGGGAGCTTTAAACTTTAATCCTTCCGGGGAACTAAATACGCTTAATCTTGAGACATTACGCAAACCAGGAATCAAATACACACATTCAGGCCTGGAGAATACAGGTAAATATATTTTAAGAAATCGAACTATAGGCGAATCAAATATCAACCTAGTTATTAAATATGCTTTTTGTGTGTTAATAAGTTGAGATTTGAAGAATTATAAGACGGATTTTTTTCGAAAGAAAGGAATTGAGTCTTTGTAACAAACTCTGGTATGCTAATCCCATATTTAATATTTCAAACTATGAATTATGTTAGATTAAATAATCCAAGTTTTAAATATCAATGGTTTACACCAACCAGTTGCAGAGATATAAGGATTGGAAAATTTGAGTTTGTGGCAAAAACTCAATTCTTTTGGCATACAATTCAATAAGTATCTAATCAAAAAGAAAAAATACTTAAAATTATGATGTTTTAACTTATATTCTGTTTTGAAAAATGAGTATTTCTAGAACACGTGAAATAAATATTGAAATGATTTTTCTTTAGAGGATAGTTTTGTATTTGAAATGTCCATTGGACCAAAATCTACAGAACTTCCGGACTTTATCAACACAAGGCAGCGCTTTCTAATGCAGATAAGGTAAGCTATTTAATAAAGTGATATTGAGATTCTTTTCTAACAAAAAGATTGAATATAGACGGATATAATCAATATAGTGAGGCTTAGGTTCAAAAAGTACGAGAAACGGCCAAACTATATGTATCATACGAAAAATCACGTCGGCATAATTATATCTGTGGCCACAGCGCTCGGTCCCCGGGCCAGTCCTAGCCGCGGCGCTCCGCCAATATTTTTGTATGCAACACGTGGCTCAGTCGCAGCGTTCGGCTCAGAATTAGTCTTACCAATACCTATCCCAAAAATATGGGTTATTTATCATTTACATGTAATAATTAATGTAATGTATGCAGCGCTCGGCCCCTAGCCCTATGTCGGTGAACCTTTTTAAAACGAATAAGGAACAGTGCCTCTTTATTTTCAGAGAACATTTTGGTTTTACATAAACCAAATTTACAGATTTTCTAGAAATCAACTTTTAACTGCGATACAGTGTTTCTTAGAAAAACGTTGTAAATACAGTTGTAAATTGTTAATGACACTCTAAAATTGCTTAAAAGAAACTGAGTCTTTGCCACAAACTCAGATTTAGTAAACCCTATATTTTTGCAACCCAATATCTTAGATCTAGCTTAATATTTAAAACTATGAATTATATTAGATATAAAAATCAAAGTTTGAAAGGAATACATCATCAAGCTATAAAGATTTTGAGAAAAGGAGTTGAGTTTTGCCACAAACTCTGATTTTTTATCTCTATATCTTTGTATACCAATGTCGTAGACCTTAGATATTTCAAACTATTAATACGTATAGATAATGTTATCTAAGATTTGAGTTTCTGGCAAAAACTCAATTCCTTTGAGTTTGCGAAAAAACTCAATTCCTTTAGATAAAAGTTCGTTATGTCCCGTAAAATGAAATCGTCTTTCTTTGGTAGTCACAATTTCAAATTTCATTTTAAATTCTAAGCATGACCATGAAAACTTCATAATTTGAAAGTGTAACCTCGAGTTATAGTTAATTGTATCACTTATTTGGGTAATTTCATGGTAAATATTCGCTGTTATTTGGCCGGAGAAAAAGCCGATTTTTCGTTCAGAATTTGAGCGGAAAGGGACGGTCCCTCTCTATAAACACTATTTGATGTTTTTTTTTTATAGTATGTTGTGGATCAAAATAAATTTCGAATATAAAATACTTCGGATTCCGGGAGATAACTAAATAGGGTCTTCTATAAAACGGAGAAAGCAGTGGTTTAGATGAAACTTCCTTGATGAAAATATGAGAGCAGGAGGTTAAACTGGAAGTAATCTGGTCTGGTATCAGGGCTGGAACTGCAAAATATGAGAGCAGGAGGTTAAACTGGATGTAATCTGGTCTGGTTTCAAAGCAGGAACTGCAGAATATGAGAGCAGGAGGTTAAACTGGAAGTAATCTGGTCTGGATTCAGAGCTGGAACTGCAGAATATGAGAGCAGGCGGTTAAACTGGAAGTAATCTGGTCTGGTTTCAGAGCTGGAACTGCAGAATATGAGAGCAGGAGGTTAAACTGGAAGTAATCTGGTCTGGTTTCAGAGCTGGAACTGCAGAATATGAGAGCAGGCGGTTAAACTGGAAGTAATCTGGTCTGGTTTCAGAGCTGGAACTGCAGAATATGAGAGCAGGAGGTTAAACTGGAAGTAATCTGGTCTGGTCTCAGGGCTGGAACTGCAGAATATGAGAGCAGGAGGTTAAACTGGAAGTAATCTGGTCTGGTCTCAGGGCTGGAACGGCAGAATATGAGAGCAGGAGGTTAAACTGGAAGTAATCTGGTCTGGTCTCAGGGCTGGAACTGCAGAATATGAGAGCAGGAGGTTAAACTGGAAGTAATCCGGTCTGGTTTAAGTGCTGGAACTGCAGAATGATGAGAATAGAACTGTGATATTGTTCTTCAGGACTGATTGGATTCTCCTAAGATACTCCGGCGAGGGCAGCTCCGGACTATCCAGAAACTCTCCGGGCAGAACCAGCCGAGAACCAAAAAGAGCTTCGGAGGCGGTATAGCAGAATCCTCTCTGGGAACACCCCGAAGACCAAGTTATACCAGGGGTAGATGATTAAACCAGTCTGTTCCAGACAATAGAGCTCTAAGAGACACGTTGAGACGACGGTGGAACCTCTCCACCAGGCCATTTGACTGTGGATGGAAAGATGTCGTTGGAGAGTGAATGATTCCTATGAACCTGCAGAGATTAATCCAGATAGAGCTTGTGAACTGTGCTCCACGATCGGAGGTAATCATAGACGAAACTCCATAGTTTGGGATCCAGGATCGGAGTAAAACCTTGGCACATTCTTCTGCTGTTGTAAACTGGAGAGGAATAGCTTCTGGCCATTTACTTGTTCTATCAACGATGGTGAACAGGAACGTATATCCACAGAATTGAGGAAGAGGACCAACCAGATCTAAGTGAATATGAGAGAATCTCCGTCCAGGAACCGGTATCTGTTGGATGGGAGATTTGATATGGGTTTGAACCTTGCTCCGTTGGCAATCCAGACAGGACTGAGACCGAAAATTTACATCTTTGGAAAGGCCTTCACAAACAAAACTTCTTGTAATCAGTCTTAATAAACACTTATTTTAGGATTCTGCCTGTAAATGACCGGCCAAAGATAGTGCTGACTGAATCTGTGCTAAAGGTTGGAGCAGGGGGGACCCTGCCTTTATCCCCAACCCTTGTATCAATCCAGGATCCAGATACTAGGACGGATCAAATTATTATCGTGGTCAGCTACAATGATTCAAGGTTAATATTATTTTTCAAAATTATATTTTGTTTTATCATTTAGACAAAAATTACCCCGGGGCAGGTAACAGGCTGGTCAGGAGTTAAAAAATTTCTCCAATTTTTTTTTTGATTATTTTGAAGTTTATCCAAATCATGAAGCAAATTTACTATATTGGTTTAGTTAGATTTTACTAAACTTTAGAGTGTGTGTGAATATTTGTTTTAAAGAAATATATTGCGTAATAAATAATCTTGTAATTGATAAATGATGGTATACAGTATTCCCTTACTTATACTGTAGGCTTTATATCAAGAGCTTAGAGTATAGAGTGCTCTCCCTGGAGTAGGTTAAGCATTGAGATTATCCACCTGTAGTAGGTTACACATTGAGAGTAGGTTAAACATTGATATTATCCACCTGATGTAAGTTAAACATTGATATTATCCACCTGGTGTAAGTTAAACATTGAGATTATCCACCTGGTGTAGGTAAAACATTGAGATTATTCGCCTGGTGTAGGTTAAATATGAGATTATTCACCTGGAATTGGTTACACATTGAGATTATCCACCTGGAGCAGGCTAGACATTGAGATTATCCCCCTGAAATAGGTTAAACATTGAGATTATCCACCAGGAGTAGGTTAACCATTGATATTAACCCCCAGGAGTAGGTTAACCATTGATATTATCCACCTAGTGCAAGTTAAACATTGAAATTATCCACCTGGAGTAGGTTAAACATTGAGATTTTTCACCAGGAGTAGGTTAAACATTGAGATTATCCACCAGGAGTAGGGTAACCATTGATATTATCCACCTGGTGCAAGTTAAACATTGAGATTATCCAGCTGGAGTAGGTTAAACATTGAGATTATCCACCTGTAGTAGGTTACACATTAAGAGTAGGTTAAACATTGATATTATCCACCTGGTGCAAGTTAAACATTGAGATTATCCACCTAGTGTAGGTTAAACATTGAGATTATCCACCTGGTGTAGGTTAAACATTGAGATTATCCACCTGGTGTAGGTTAAACATTGATTTTATCCACCTGGAGTAGGTTAAACATTGAGATTATCTACATGTTGTCTGTTTAGTGGTTTATGTTTAGGCTCTGTTCCTGCAGAATGGTTTAATATGTATATTTCAGACCTGGAGCATAGTTTACTGTCAAGATTTAATAATTCTTAGTTTCATGTAGGTTATATCTAAGAGTAAAATATTCATATAACTAGCTGAAGTATAATTTAATGCTACCCCTAGAGTTTTTAGGTTTTAAACCAAAATTATGAATTAATATACCAAGGCTTTACTTGGAGCATGCAGTTTATTATTTATGTTTCATACCATGCAGAAGTAAGGTAAGGTACAAAGGAGCTGAGTTTGTTATTTAGGGTTTATACCAGAAGGAATGTTTAATGTACAAAGGCTACACCTGGAGCTGAATTTAGTATTTTGGTTACATATACAATACACATTATACATAGAATTGATTATGCGTAGGCAGATATATAGATAATAGACCCATGGCTTAAGATCTTAAGCGTCTGTTTTCACTTCCAGAATAAAGTATTGGATGGCATGGTTACTTTTATACTTGTGGCAAGGAGTCATGTTTCAATATATATTATATACAATAGTGGTAAAAAACGGCCTTAAAGCAAGTGATTCTGTTTGTGTGAATTAATAATATTGGATGAAGGAATCTTAAAATTGGTAATGAAAAGATTAATAATTGATTGAGAACGGAGAAAGATTTCTTTTCTCCGGCGGACCATTGGGGATACAGGCCCTGGTAGAATAAGATTAAAGTATAGGAAACAGGAAATGTTATAGGGAAGAAGTATAACGAAATTTATTTTACATTGATAAAAGAGAAATACTGTACAAAGATTTGAATAAAAGGTCATTAAAAAAGTTACCCTGCTGAGTAGAGTAACTTATATTTTAATTTTACTCAATCAAAAGTTAAAGGGCCTGTACGCGTAATTTCAGGTGACATTTAATTTAAAGAGGGGCTTACCCGATTCACAAGAGTACCCTGAAAACCTTTGACTGATCAAGGAAGTTAGAGATATCCTTATTAATCTAATGAAGCGTTTTAATTTGTTAAATACTTTGTTTGCAAGCTGTTATATATTTAAGAATTATCAATAGTTACTATCCAGAAGAGGCAGAAAATAAATATTTTCTTTCAAATGTTTAAATCCGCTTTTAACGCTAAAAAGACGATCTTTTCATTGGACGCTAGTAAAATAACAGCTGCTTCAAGTTCACATCAGAATTTTCAAGAACACAAGCGGTTTTCGATAAGTTTACACGCTGAGATTTTGTACTCGATGAACACACAACAGTTTAAAGGGCACCGTTGTAAATCAGGCATTGCCCTTTTGGAGGGTCACTTGAAGTTACGCTTACTTTCCCTTTAAGTTTCAAAATCCATAATTTGGAAAATTAAGAATCTGAAAGAAGATAAAATGAGAAAGGAAAGTGTTATTTGTAGTTTTAATGAAAGAATGGAGATTAGCTGAAAAGATATGATAGAATGTTTGGTCAATCTTCTGGAGCGAATACAAAAGACTTAATTACAAATGATCGACACGATCTGTGACCAAATTAACGAAACCGAATTACATTTTCCTACGGTACTTATTCGACATCAAAAAAGACAAAAATCCACATTTTCCTAATATCGATGAGCACTTTTTTTGTAATAAAGTCTAATTCAAAACATTTAATTCGGCAATATTCAGCGCGTAATTTTTGAGATTTTTTTTCATAACCCTTATACTCCTTTGCCGAATGGAAAAGAAAAATTGACTAATTGGAAAAATAGAAAAATTGAAAAGTAAGATCAGATAAAGAGGAAAAAGAAAGTTAGAGGGGAAAGAGGTGCCATCAAGGAATATTAAATGAAAATTAATAAATATTAATAAAAAAGAAAGAATTTTAAGTGTATCTCATTCTCTGCAGTTAACGCCATTTTTTAGTCACTACATTTAAGATCTATTTGTAGAAACGCTTCTGTGTACAGTTTCAAAGTTCAAGAAAGAATAAAAATGAAATATCGTTGATAGAACCAAAAAAGTACAAATATATTTTATATATTCATATCACACATGGCGATGAACATTTTTTACGTTCCAAGCTATGTTTATTAGTTAATACAAGTATATATTATTGCCAGAATGTACTTATCCTATTCCTCTTGTTTCTCTTATATATATATATATGTATATAAAGTAGTAAAGCGGTATATCTAGCAATGGAGAAATAAATGATTTTCTGATCTAGTTTTATACTATTCAACACTCATTTATTACACAGAGCTTGTCGTAAATATATACTAGTACATTATACCCACTGGGCTTTGGTGGATTCCGGACATCAACACTTTATCACACGTCATATTGTAAGCTCTCTCTCTCTCTCTACATAAAAAACAAAGACATTTAATATATTAACCAAGTACTGATGAATCATGGTTCTCTCTTTTTTCTAATATAAAGGAACTGAACACTTGCCACAAGGTCTGATGTCCCAATATCTATATTTTTTTAACCTGATGGTGTAAGCTTTTTTATAATTTAAACTACTATTTGATCTACCAGAATTCATACGTTGAGACTTTTAATATTAGACTTCAAAATACATTGGGATTAGAAAATTAAAATTTGTGGCTAGTGTTCAGTTTCTTATATAGAACACAAATTCATAAAGTACCGGGACAGAGAGCAAGATGTACTGTTGTAATCCGCGTAGTCAGGAATTTGTCGGGGGGNACCTGGTGATACTAGGGGGGGGGCTTAGCCCCCCCTGACTACGCCTCTGTTACAGTACACATACAGCTACTGTAAAAGACAAAACAGGACAGTACACCACATAAACCATCCCCTTCGTGTGAAATTTAAGTGAGATATCTGTGGAAATTTCTAGACAATTTTAAAATTTCCTAAGCAATTTTTAAAGCCTCCATCTCCGAGATTTTTCAAAATTATGTTGAGACTGTAATCCTAAAAAAACTTTATTTGTGAAAGAAAATCTTTCATCCCTTAGACTTAGTTTCATGCATTTTTGCAAATTGCGAACGAATTTGTCCTAGTTTGAATAAAAAGATTTCTGAATATATTTAAATGGGTCGGAATAGATAGAAAAAGTTCTTATTTGCCGCATCCTATATATTCTTCTTCTTTCATCAAAGTTATCGACCGAGAAAGTGCCGTCAAAACTTTTATAATTGAACTTTTAATATTAAATTAGATGGAGCCACCAACTTTAACCCTACTCTAGGAGATGGAAATATATTATAATATTCATCAGTATATTACAATTTAGAAACTTATAAGCTCTACTCAAACATAGAAATTCGAATCTATATATAAATTTGGCTTGTCTGTCTGTTTGTTCGTTTGTTTGTATCTAATAAACGTCAAAACGGCTGAACCGATCGGGCCCAAATTTTTTGTGGGATATCATGTTACCACAGGGAAGGTTTCTGAATGATAAAATTTTTTAAAAAATGTGTTTAAAGGTTTCTAATTTGGTAAAAAAAAATTAAATTCTTGAAAAGCCGCAAATTTTTTAAAAAATCCGCAACAATTTTTTCTTCTTTGTTTTAAAATTTAAACAAAAAAAACATGTTCACAATTTAAATAGAAGATGGCTGCGAAGCTCCCTAAAAGCCTAGTAAGCAAAAAAAAACTGGAAGTAGAAAAAATCTTATCCGGTATTCAACTCTAACACTGAACCCATGCAGTACATTTCAAAAGAACATAAAAAAATGTATTCATTACAAAATTGCTATTTTCCATGGCTTTTGTATAACAGAACTTTATTCTTTGTTATTAATTTTTCTTCCGTTTCTGAAAAAACGACTTACGAAAAAAACATTCATATTTTTCTCGTTTGTTCGTAAATTTTTTTCTTTAAAAGATGGGAAAATATTTATCGGACCTAAGTTGTAGAGAATGAGAGAGGAGGGGATTTATTAATTAGCAAAAGTAACGGGGATTTGAATAAACATTTATTTGTTTATTAAAGACTCGTTCAAGATAAATTGTGCACATTTGAATACATTTTATAATCACAACAAACTCCTCAGTATGGATGATTAATTTAGTGTACTGTCTGCGTGTACTTTCTCTAACATGCCTAAAGGTCGTGTGATGTGTCACTAGCTGAAGTGACTCAACGGTTCTACTGTAGTTAAGCAAATTATAGAAGTTACATCTCTCTACGTGTTATTCGGGTTGGCAAGTAATATTTCCGCAAATAATAACAGTGGTTAACATGAAAAAGGATCGTTTGTTTATAATACGAAAATGCGAATCCTTTTTATAAAAACTAGTTTTGCTCTACTTTTCCTGTTATAGATAAAGGGGAAAAGTTTTGAAAAGTTTCCCCTGGTTCTCTAGATTCATTTAATATAGGAACTCAAACCTTCTCAGTAGATGAATATATGGAGATAAAATATTGAACAGATAAGTTGTTGTGTTTAATATAGTATATTGTATATTAATATATATATATTTGTATGTTGACTAGAAATCTACAAACATTTATAAACACTTGAACTACACTAATGTATAACATTTTGACTGAGCTCGCGGAGCCAAGCAAATTTTAGATATTTTGACTGAATTTAAACATGAACGATAAACTGGCTTCCTTTTTGAGTTCCTAAAATATATTTGTAAATAGGATCTGAAGAAGCTATAAATTTATGAAGAAAAAAAATTACTTGAAAATATTTCTCAAATTTTTTTTGCAGATTTCTTCAAAGAAATAGTTTCATTGATTTTTAAACATTATGTTTCAAGGACTGGAAACAATAAAAACATTTTCTACTTTTGTCAATTAAATCTCATATACATTTCAGAATCTTCTATTTTTTTCAGAAATGGTTATATTGAGCATATGTCAAGGCTGGGAGAACGTGTTAGTTCATTTCGTCTTGCTGAGCTAGAAGCAGGTTATTATATAACAAGTATTTTACAATATGAAAGATATGGAAATTACAATTGTGTAACCTTATCTTTATTTAGCTATTTCCTAACGGAAACCTTAGAGGTTTTAGGAATTTTGGAACTATATATATTTTTAGAGTGGCATTCTTAATTATTTTTACAATTAGTTTTCAGAAGACAATTAGTTGTTGCAGGAAAATATTTAATGCCGGGATGCATGTTTGGGACAGGGGCAGATTTTAGAGGAAACATTTTGCAAAGTAAACATTGTTTGCGGAAATATTTGATTAAGTGCCAAAGGTTAACTGCAAACACTTTATTATTAGAAAGATTAGTTGACGGGATTTCTAAAACTCAAATTTTATTTTTAGATATTTTATATAGTGTGTTTATATTTCATAAATCTTGACACAGACAACTGGACACTACAGATAATTCCTGAGATTTTTAATGTAAAAATATAATAGTATTTTTGAAAGTAACTGAGTTTTTGCCACAAACCCAAATTTCTAATCCAGATATCTTTGAAACCTTATGGTGCTATAATTTTTTAAACATTATGCATTGTTTAACATTAGGTTGCAAAGAATCTACCACTGAGCAGACTGACTAGGTCGGTTTTCTTAAAACAAAGTCTAGATAAAACTTAAGTCTTCACTTGGGCGTTAATAGACATTTGGGTTCAAGCTTTTAAAATCTCAGATCTAGAAATAATCTAAATTTTTTTATAAATAGAACCACCTGTAAAATTGTTTTTGTGTGACCCCCCCCCCACCTCCCAACAACAGCATTAATTTTAAAGAAAAAAATGAATTGTTTAAAAAAATTTTTTACAGAAGAAAGATTTCTCATTTTTGTTACTTTGTAATAATATTTTAATGCACTATATATATATTTGCACCTTTTCGTTGCAAATTCTTCTCTCAAATAAATCGTTACATAATTACCTTCCTTTTAATATTTAATAGATCTTCAAATTATTTCATTGCTATAAGAATACATTTTAGCTAAAAAATACGAAAAAAATATTTTAACGGAAAAGTCAAACAAAGCCTTTTTATTCAGGTTCATTACAGTACGCGCATAAGGGTCAGCTTAATTCACAAATGGGAATTCAAGCCTGGGATGGAGAACTTTACAGTAACACAGAATATCTCAGGTATATAATTTAACTTTATTTGGTTTGAGCCTCATTGATGGAATTTTTTTCTCGATATAATATAAAAATATTCTTTTCTATTTTTGAACCCATCTGTGATGAAATAGCTTTCGACAGCCTTGGATAAAAACTGGAAACTTATAATCTAAGTCTAGACCAACTGCAAACTTGATTAGAAATAGTTTTCTATATTTAACAATAATAATCATCCAGATGTTGAAAGAATCTACAACTTGAAATAAAAGCACTCTATTAGTTCTCAAGTTAGTGAAAGCTAGCTCTATCTCTAGTATTTGTTATAACATGATAAAAGTGTTAGATTCTATTGGTTCAACAATAAACTCAAGGATATCCCATCCCGCAGTTTCATTCAATCAAATAATTAAAAGACAGAAAACTATAAATTATTAACTCACAAACTAGCGGTTTAAAGGGAGTGTTCGCGAAAAATGAAAGGGGGTATAGGCTTAATGCGATTAAAAACCGCTTTTGATCGCTACTAATCTTACTTCTATCTGTTGCGTCTATAAGGAGAAAATTTTTAAAAACGACTAATACCTAAGAACGTAGTGTCCATACAAATTCAGAAAGATGCAACATACGAATTAGACCGTAAAAAAATCTATTTAATTTCAAACAAATCATTCAGATATTACAACCTATAGTCATCGATTATCTTTCGCCACATTTGTATATAGTTGATTTTTCATAATATGTTTTAATTGTTATGATCTGAGAGTTACTTATAAAAACATTTATTCCTGTTTCGAGGATTTTTGGTAAAGAAGACGACATTTTCATATTTTCCAGGAATCTTCGAGAACAAGTTGTAAGCTAAATGTTATTTTAAAAAATAAAATAAAATTTATTATGAAAAATCAACTATATACAAATGTGGCGAAAGATAATCGATGGCCATAGGTTGTAATATCTGAATGATTTGTTTAAAATTAAATAGATTTTTTTACGGTCTAAGTCGTATGTTGCATCTTTCTGAATTTGTATGGACACCACGTTCTTCGGTATTAGTCGTTTTTAACAATTTTCTCCTTAAAGACACAACAGATAGAAGTAAGATTAGTAGCGATCAAAAGCGCTTTTCTATTGCATTAAGCCTATACCCCCTTTCATTTTTCGCGAACACTCCCTTTAACAAGTTTACTTTCTTCTAATCAAGGGAGATTATTCAAGTTTTTCTTTTTTGATGGTTTAGGGTGTTGAATACTAAGTTTGGATACTAATCCACAGCACTCTTCTAAAACTCTGAACCAAAAAGAAAAATTCAGTAAAAACCTGGAGAAAAGTTGGAGATAAAGAAAGACAAAAGAATGATGATGTCAATTTAATATTTTTGCCAGCTAAGCAATTCGATCAAATAGCTGTCAGCATTTCGGAAAAATAAAATATTCAAATTATCCTTACATTTCAGTGAACTGCACTATAACTAATGTCCCTAATTCTTTACTTACATCTGCACTTTAATCTATCCATTAAGCACTCTACACTCTACAGACTACACTAAGAAATGTACATGCACTATACATACATTCTGCTGTGCAACTTAAACTTTGCAGCAGATACTCTATGTTTGCACATTGAAATTCACACTTTACACTTTTTACAATTAAACTGCTGCTGCTCTTCTACTCATAACTCTGCATAACATATGAAAGCTATGAAGTTTCTTGATTTCGCACTTGCTTAAGAACAGTATTATTCATAATTAATTCAAACATGAATTTATTTCAATTTGAAGGATGTATATTATCTAATTCTTAATATTCAAATTCTGAAGTTATCCATTAATACATTTTCAAGTTTTAAGATAGAATCTTCCGACTAACTAACTAAACACTTTAGCACCTCTTCCTCATTATTTTTGTAAAAAAGAATTGCACCAAACAACGTTTATTTGAGTTGAAGCTCCATCATTTCTTAGTCTAAATAACGTTTATAAAAACAATGAAATGAAGCAGTTGCACAAAATTATTTTAATTAATTAACTGTTCACAAACACCAACTACAGACAAATACGTGTGGAAGGGTGAAGTGTTTGTTTCATCCCTGTTTTTAATCACCAAAGTTTTCAACTAAATCTCTCTTTTTATACTAACTACCCCCCCCCCCATCCCCGGTTTATAGTGTTTTCCTTTCTTAAGAACCAGCCGGGTAGTCGAAATACCCCCGACTGAGATTTAAAGCACCCCTACTTGATTTATTTCTTTTCAAAGCTTACTCCATTGTAAGTTGTATCTTCTCTTTAATCTGGTTCACAAAGGATTAGAATTTAGAAACCAATTCTTCATTTCAAACCTTTCAAAGTCCCAGGTTTTAGAAATCTTCCATAATGGATCTTATTCATTTCATCAAAAAAATAAAGATGTGAACTGAGGGGGGAGGGAACATTGTTTTTTTTTATTCACGTCAATTCATTTTAACGTTTATCTTTCTGTTTAAAATTTAAAGATAATATTCACGCAAAAATCTTTACTCTTTCAATAAAAAAAAGAAATTAAATTCACTCAATCACTTTGAAAACAATTGTTTCAGTCTGAATTTCTTTATTAGAAGTTACGGAAAATTCTAGCTTTCTCTAAAAGGAGACCAGCGAGTTTAGAAATATAAAATTTTCTCATATTTTACAATTGAAATTCTAGACACTATCTCCCTAGATGTATAGAACCAACCTCATCTTTGGTATACACATCTATACTGATACAAAATAAGTATAATAAGGAAACACACTTTTTCCACTATTCTTCACAAACTGTAGTGAAGAGAAAGAGTTTTCAGAAGAAAGACTGGTTCAACAGAAGGACTTGAGTAATAATAGGTTTGGTACAGTTTACCCCCAGAGATTTAGATACGCCGAAAGAAATTATGAAATGTCGTCTTGACAATTTTTCAATGGGTTTTATACTATTATACGTAAATCTTAGTAATTGAAAAAAAAAAATAACTAAATAGCCATGAATATGCGGGAACAGTTTTAAAGAGCTCCATATAATCATTTAATTAAAAAACTAAATATCAGCAGCATTCCATTATCGGAAAGTTAAGAATACGACATTTTATAAATTATTCCAACGTCTCTTTATATTTAAACTTAATTGTAGAAAAATTAGAATAGGGACTGGTTCAGAAAAAAAGTATGAGAAAAAACGGTTCTGAAATAGGACTGGTTCAAAAGAAAGGCAGGTGAATGAGAGGTACTGGACAATTTAAAAAGACGGACTAGTTAAAGAAAGGGACTAGTTAAAGAAAGGGACTAGTTAAAGAAAGGGACTAGATAAAGAAAGGGACTAGTTAAAGAAAGGGACTAGTTAAAGAAAGGGACTAGTTAAAGAAAGGGACTAGTTAAAGAGAGGGACTAGTTAAAGAAAGGGACAAGTTAAAGAAAGGGACTAGTTAAAGAAAGGGAATAGTTAAAGAAAGGGACAAGTTAAAGAAAGGGACTAGTTAAAGAAAGGGACTAGTTTTTCGATATCTCTTATACCCCACTGGGATATTTTGTTCAAGACCCACACAAGTTCGAACCTCAGATCATTTTTTGGAAATCAAGATGTCATAGGAAAATGGAGATATTTAATTGTTCACCGTAAATAACGTACCTTTGGCCTTGGCGCCAGAAAAGAAATAATGCCATTTATGTTTAGGGTTTCTGCATTCGAACTGGATCTTGTGCTCGTTAACAACACTGGTTTAACCGTTAGCCTTGGTGGAGGTCGTGTTATTAGTCCGGCCAACCTGACCTTCCTGGCCTCCAACCTTGGTCCAGATGCAGAGATCAAGCTGGAGATCATCAGTGGTCCAAACTATGGGAAGGAAAGGGGTTCAAGATTCTTTTTTATTTGGCAGATAACACAAATAGAATGTCGTTAAAGTTTTACGAGAACCATATTTTCCCCAGAAATCGCGGTCTTATTTACTCATTAACCCATATCAAATTGATATTATTTTTTAAGGCCTTTATCTCCATACCGATCTTCATATGTCAAATTGTTATCTATTCTATTCTCTCCTTTTAGATCTGGTTTTAATTGTCTATAGTTAGAAAAGGCAATGTTGTTTAGATCTGTGAGTAGAACTAAAAGTACTTCATTATCTCCCAACAAACAGTGCCACAATAATCCCCGAGTGGGAACCTTCACTTTACAATTCTCTTCCAAATCTTCATTAAGATAATATTTAGTAGACATTAAAGCATAATGCTCAACTTCTGACCTTCAATAAAATTCTTAAAGATCTTACTTTTAATCCTATATTTTTATATTTTATATTTTTATCTCATTTTATTCTAATCATTTAACGTTCCCTTCATACCATACCATCTAAGTTTTTGACATAGCTTAAAACTTGTGTTGAGGTGGTACATTTAATTCTGACTTAACTTGATTAAAAACATTTGTAATAAAAATAGAATCAAACCTTCCAACCAGATTCAAAGACAGAGAGCGAACGGAAAATGGGTGACAAGTCGTAGGTTTACCCAGAGACAAATAGGAAAACATAAACAACTCAAATGATAATAAAAACTATGATATATATTATGTCATTTCAAAGTGTATACTTCTGCTATGTTAGCTGAGTTTAAAGGTTTTATGTTTGACTGCAGAGAAGGGAAAGGTTCGCTATATTCACAGTAGAGGAAACCCTAGAAGCGATTATTTCACCTTCACAGCCCAGCTTAACGGTAACAGTGTCGGTAAATCCTTCACGTTTGCCATCACCTTTGTAAACATTAACATTCAGGCTGTGAGAAACCACGGTCTCAGCCTAGAAAACGTGATAGAATCCGTCATTACGGAGTCAAGTTTAATGTATCAAACATTTCCCGAGGAAACTCAGGACTCAAGGATAATCTACAGAATCATCAATCCTCCGAAGCAAGGAAGTATTTTAATTTCCAAATCCGGTGCAGGAGGGGTTGGAAATATATTCCAAGAACTCTTCGCAAACTCAACCTTTTCCCAGGTTGAGATTCTCTCAGGGCGGTTAAAATATAAACTCTCCGGAAAACCTTACTCCGGGATACAAGACCAGTTCTCTTTCGAGGTTTCGACACCAAAGCAAACCTCAAACCTTCAGGTTTACTTAAATATTCTCAAATTCAATCCCAATACAGATTAAATGGTTCATTTTCAAGTTTACATTCTTCACATTAGATTAGATTTCAGGAAATTAAAATATTTAAGTATTTTTACACCATGTTTAGACAATTGGAACCTTTTAACTTTTAAAAACTAATACGAATATTTAAGAATCAAATAGGTTTATGAGATATCTTATTCACCTGGTGATACTAGCGTAGATATCACTCTGGAAGGATGTGAGGTGGAGGAGGGGGGTAGAAAAGTAATAACAAATAAGTATCTGGAGATAAGATCTCTGGATTATAACGGATTCATGTTTAATATTTCCGTCCCTCCAGTAAATGGCTGGCTAAGTGTATTGAATCAAAACAAAGTTGATGTTCTTCGGCAACGAACAACGTTCTTTACATCCCAAGAGCTCTCAGAGCAGAGGCTTGTTTACCATCATGATGATTCAGAATCTAGGCGGGATTCATTTTCCTTCCTGGCTACCAAAACGGGCGGACGGACCTTTCAGTTCTCCGGGGAATTCCATATTCACATTTTGCTGAGGAACGATCAAACTCCAACTCGGGCGGTGGACAAGGTGTTTCAGGTGGTAGAGTCAGGTGAAAAAATACTTACAGAGAAGGATCTCTTGTTTACAGATGTGGATATTGACACGAGACCTGAGGATATCAAGTTCGAAAGCAGAGCTACGCCAAATGGAGAACTAGTTTATGCTGAGGATCCAAGCAAACGCGTGAGTGAGTTTACCCAGCAAGATATCAACGACAGAAAAATTATGTTTCGTCACCGAGGGTCCAACTTTGGTCGGATTCTGATATGGGTAAACGATGGTCAGCTGTGGGTGAGTACTGAGCTTAAGGTTCGAGCCTCACCACCTTTCGTCAAGATTGAAAACAACACAGGACTTGTTGTTCAAAGGTAAGGTTCACTTAAACTATTCTGAAGAAGTTTGATTCGTTAAAAAAATTCTTACTCTGATATTAAAATTTTTATAAATGGTTTGTATTTGCAAGGAACAAACAATTGTGTTTTAGACAAACAAATATTACATACTAATCTAAATATTATCTATCTATCTGAAGCTAGGCTATAGTTCCTCCAGTCACTTCCAGATTAATCTAATCTAAATTGTCCAAACTCAAAGTAAAATTTAATCTGTCCTAAAGTCATATTATGTAAATTAAATTAAAACCAAAGTAACATTCCTAGTATGATTCAGAATTCTTATGTTTTCAATCTAGTTTGTAATTCAAAAAATGATGGAAAGGCGAAATTTAAAAAAATATATTGTTAGTTGAATGATAGAATCAGTTTATCACTTTTTCCCCTTAACAAATTCTAACTTACGGAGAACCGTGATAGATGACAAGAAAAAAGGACAAATGAATTAAGTTTTTGCCTCAAGCTCAAATTTTCTAATCCCTATATCTTTGCAATCGGATCGTTAAAACTGTTATATTTCAAACTTTGACCATTTGATCTAGCAAAGGAATTGAGTCGTTGTCACAAACTCGATTTTTAATCCCTATTTCTTTGCAACGAAATGTTGGAGACCAAAGATATTTTAAGCTATAAATTATGTTGGATCAAAAAATCTACGTTTAAAATATCAAAGGTTAACACCATAAGGTTGCAAATATGAAGGAATGAAAATTTGAGTTTGTGGCAAAAAATTTAATTCCTTTCATAGTTTAAAATATCTTAGATCTACGACAGTAGGTTGCTAAAATTAAGGGATTACAAAAATCAGAGTTTGTGATAAGACTCAATTCCTTTCAATGATTTAACCTTTTTTATTTTGAGAATTTTACTGCCATTATATTTAGGTAGTATCTAATTCATAAATCAAATAATTTTGGTTTACTTTTGATTTATACAATTTACTTTTATAGTTATTACATTTACCATTTTAGAAGAATTTTAGATTTAAGATATTTAAAACATTTTTATACATACTGGCTTGAAACACAGAAAGAAAATTTGAAATACATAGATATACGCTATAATAAACCCGTGAGATCGGGTTTATTTATACAGATTAAAGAAAAGCAGTTATAATCCTTTTTACGCTGTTTAGAGGGGACGCAGCAGCTCTGACGAACAGTAATCTGAGTGTGGACACAAATCTGAATATGTTTGGTTCGGATATTACCTATCTAGTAATTGAGGGACCACACTCTGGGAGTATCAGACTGGAAGATAGGAGTGTTACATCATTTACAGCTTTAGGTAATTTACATCTAGAGAAAGCATTTTACTGGAGAAATTAGAGAATGTAAGTTTCCTAATTTTTATGCTAAAGCATTATTTACAATTGTTAATAAAAAACTTTAAAGTCAGGTTCACATCAATCATCATTATTCTTACAATACATCTGTTTTTCCCCTCTTTATATTTGCCAGCTAACAATGCTAAACATATTTACTAATATACCCCCCTCCAGTTTTTCCTTTACAGCATCTTTAACAATTGTACAGTCTTTAAATCGCCCGAAACCGAAAGGAATTGAGTCTTTGCCGCAAACTCTGATTTTCTAATCACTATAACTTTGGAACCGAATGTTGTAGACCTTAGATATTTCAAACTCTGAATTCTGTTAGATCAAATAATCTAAGTTTTAAATATCAAATATTTACAACATCGGGCTGTAAAGATATTGAGGTTTAAATATTTGATTTTGTTCCAAAGACTCAATTCCATTGATATCAAATTGATTAAACATATGCTTTTTGACTAATATAATTGATTGAACATGTTTATAGACTGATGAGGATCGAGAGATCCGAAACAATTTGTATTTATAAATACAAAAAAACTGAGACTGCTCTGACTATTGCTTTATAGTTAAAATTGATCTTGATACATAAATATTTTGTTTTTACAGCTCTCACATTCGTAAAAAATTATATTTATTACTAAGAGAACAACCCTCATCATCCACTAGAAAAGAAATTGACCACTATTAGTTTTGTGTGTTCATTTTCACTGTCGTTTCTTTTGAAAGCATTCTATTATTCACGCACTATTAACATTGAGCAGTTGAAGATAGTTCTTGTTCGTTCTCATCATTCAATGTGGGAACTCATAGATATAAAATATTCAGTCAAACTTCTTTAAAATTTTAATCCATGTAATATTTAAAGTATGGATGACTCATGGCAAGAAAACCCTCCCTGGCCTCACACCTTCATGTCTTTGTTCTTTCAACAATGCAGAAGAATTAACCTGAACGGATTCATTAAGATTGATCAGTGCACCCTAGACCTTTGAACCGAACAGACGTATGAGTTAAGCTCCGTTTGTTCAACCAAAGGCTAGGGGACGGGCACTTCATGGACAGCTCTCAGAAGGCTTACAGCATGTGGACTTACATGATTATATCTACATGATCATATCTTCAGGAATACAATAAACCANTCCTATATAGGAGTTAGTGGAGACTTGCTTAACCGCTGAGGGACTCTTCATATATACGAGTTAGGGGAGACTTGCTTCACTGCTGAGGGACTCTTCCTCATATAAGAGTTAGTGGAGGCTTGCTTTACCGCTGAGGGACTCCACAAATATATGGAATATGATTTAATATAAATAGATATTAACAGATATATTTGTACCAATAAAATGTGTCATGTTAAACCACCCACTTATTCAAGACCTTGAGAGATAGATATTATACATAAGAAGAGAGGTTTGGGTGTGTTATGAACTGGTACTGGGAATGAAAGTGAAGTCTTGTATTAACCCTCAAATGATGGGGGACAACGATTGATCTTGATTTCCCTTGGATTTATGTCTGGGATTGTAACGATATCAAGGGATTAAATGTTACATCCATCACAGGAAAAAAACATTCTTTCTCCAATCTTCTGTAAAGATAAAGAGCAGGGAAAAAATATTTTTAATCTAACCCAGCAGGGATAATTTGTTTGGCGAGTTTAATAATACCTAATGTTCTCCCGCTTTTCTCATGTTTTTATTTATTTCCCAGTTTACAGAATAAAGTAATTTATGCATATTTTTGCGTAAAGAATATTTTATATGAATAGATGGTTGTATTTCATTTAATGTAGTGTTAGCTCAAAAATTTTACCAATATAATACGGTCTCCTCAGTCTACGTTTGTCTCTCTCTAAAAATAAACAGTTTTTTTATGTTAAAAGACAGTTAAACGGCTAAGACAAATGTCAGAAGTCGGGATTTAAATAAAGATTCTTAAAATTACAGTGAGAACCCATACAACTATGGAATGGAATTGATTATGTTATAATGCAATATGGTTTTACTAGAAGCTTTAAAATCAACTTATCAAGAGAAATGAGCCTGTGTATACTACACTATTGCAGTGTTTCATTTTCATTGGATTATTTAGAATCATAACAGTCGTCTTCATCTTATTGGATCTCTCTGAACTTAAGAAAATTTAGAAAATCTGATTATTACCCTCTTATTCTAAATATAAGTGGTATCTCCAAGTTTTAATTTTGTGTCATTCTCTTGAAAGAAAAAGTAAAGAATTTAAGGCTAAAGAATTCCTTTAAACATTAATTTATACAAATTGGATGAAAAGTCTTGAAATAAGTTTTACAGCTTGCTCGCAATTCTAGAATACTATCAGATCTTAAACCCAGGAGATGGAATGTGTAGTGTAAAACCTAAATATATTCATAGAGTGAGTTAATGGGGGGATGAACCGAAGCTAGGGATAATTTTCTAGAATTGGTTATATACCATAAGAAACATTTTAGATAAATATTTGAGGAGTCTGTATAAAAAGAAGAACCTTTTAAATCTGAAATCGATCCTATCTCTAGGAGTAAAAACATAACAAATGCTTTTGATTTTAAACTTTCATTACTTACATAAAGTAAAGGGGTATGCAAATCTGGTTTTACTGGTGTCTAAAACTAATGCTGAACTGTTTATAAAGAAAAATAATATTTCTTGATAAATCTAAAATCATTTAAATAATTTTCAAGTAAACAAAAAAACGTTTTCAATTCAAAAGTTCATTTTTTCATATCTCAGGCCATTAACTAGTTATCCCCTTAACACATTTCCATATCAAACTTATCAATAAAAAAGGGAAATTGTAAGAGCGCTTAATTTGAATTTTTCACAATTACTCAACTCTTTTATAAAAAAAGATATTTCAAATTTTTAGCTGATTTTGTTTCATTTACTTTCATTTTTTTTATATTTGATAAAAGATACATAAAAGGAAAAACCTCCAATAAAATATATAAAGAAATTATTTTACATTATTGAAATATATTCAAAATGTCTCATGACTGAGATTATTAAACTTTGCGACACCAAACTATTTTCCAGTGGGGTCGGTGGCCACATTTTTAAGGGTCATATATAGAATTGAGTGTGATTTTAAGGTTATTTTTCTCCAAGTCTGACCTTTGACTAGTTAATTTAGATAATTATTTGATAATTTATCTGTGTTTCTAATACTTGCATTAGGATCCAGAAACCAGACATAGTTGAATGATCCACGACAACTAAGTTAAAACTATTACATTTGGTCACTGTTTACATTTTCTAAACCTATGTTTATCAATCAGTTCGGAAATCAAACATACTTTTTAGTTCAATCATTTTCGGCTCATGAATTTTTAAACTAGTGATGAGAAAATGTTGGCACAATTTTGCATTAATTTGTTAATTCTGTCATTTTGAAGTTTTTGATTCACAGAGATATAAAGACAAGATGATTTAGGATTATGTAAATACAAAAGTTTAGTTGTTGAACTAAGTTAGGAGAATAATTTGTATAAAGTGGTTGTTTCTCTTTCCTTACAGAACAATCAAGAATAAGAGGCAGATGAAAAATTATGAAATTACTTGACTGCATAAATATACTGGACATAAATATATTGATAGAACTTCATTTAAGTTGTAAATGCATATTATACAATACATACTACAAATAATCAGTAATTAGTACATGAATAATGTATATATACTAATATACTACCTTGCATCATCCTGCAACATTCGTATATCACCGTATATAGTCCTGCAGCAATTATATATTACAGTGTATGGTTCTGCAGCACTTGTATGTATAACAGTTTATATGTGTCCTGCATGATATTCTGCAGAGTACAACTTTAACATTTATTCAATATTGTGTTCTGTGTCCTGTATACAAGAATCGTTCTGTAATGAATGTAAATTGTGTAGTTTTGTTTTTTATGATACAGTTTTTAACTCCAGCATGCAGTTTTTTATCCAGTTCTGTACTCCAGTTTACAGCTAAGTATAGTTCTATGTACATACTCTGTACACTGTACAGTGTACAGTGTAAAGTACTACCATACCAGAAGATTAATTCTCTATCATTATAACTGGAGTCGGGGGAAAATGTTTTACTGTAAAATTAGAATAATGTGCTAATATTCAGATATTTTATTGCCCATATGTTAGGAATAAAGAACATATTCTGAATTGAACCTAAACTGTTAAAACGTTTTTTATTTGCACATTTCCTACACATCAGGATGAGTTTTAATAAAAAATTATACTGTAGTTTTTAACATTCAACACATTTTTTTGTGAATAAAGACCTAGTGCTTCATGTGTGTATTTTTTATCTGAACCAAACATAACAAATTCAAAAATCTATAAGACAACAGGTATCGAATATATTTAGTTCATAGATATTGCTGCAATTTATTTGCTTTATTTAGACGTTTGTGTACATGAAAATGTATATATATAAAATATATATATCAGGACTGGATGACATAAATATCATATTTCGGTTGAAACCTTGTCAGGTCCACAGCACAAACATAGATAAAACTTATTGTTTTAGGATTCACTTTCATAGCGTACAAACAAATTCCACTTTCCAAAGAAAACTCGTCATTATTTAATTTTACTTTTGTTGCGTATTTATTGCTTGAACAAAAAAATGTGTACATAGTTGCAAGTGTAGTCAATACATCAGTTGAATCAGTATTTATAACATTGAAATGAAACACATAAATGAATTTTCAAAAAGAAATTCAAATCCTTTAAAAATGATGAATTAAAGTTTAGAATTCATTAAATAGAAAGGTTTAATGGAGAAACTTGAATCTAGTTGGACAAACTAAACCTCAACTTGTTTTCAATTATTTTTCTTCTTTAATACTCAGAATATTAATTTTCAGAACCACCAAGGATGACAGCAACTTCTTACAGTGCTGAATATCTTATTTTAACTTGTTTTAATTTCAAAATCTAAAGTACTTTAGAAGATAAATCTAGTTGAAGAAATAAATCTGACAAATCATTATTTCATTAAATAAAAAAAGCTTTAACTTGCTTTCAATTAATTAGGTTTAATTACAACTGTAAAGAAACGACACAAAAATATTTTCTCTAAAAATTACATGTTTCATTTCTTATATCCTATTGAATTATAAATGACAAAACTGTGTGAAACCTATATATAATTCGTCTTCATCTTGTTTTATTATTTATAAATATAAAACTGAAATATTCTTCTTATAAAGTTTGTATTCACCTAGAGAGAAAATAAATGTATTGAGGTTCTGGTAAATTTTTATACAATTCAGGATAACGATGGATTCTGGTTGATAATACAATTATTCTATACTATACATATTGTGGTACACAAGCCTTTTTTTTTTATCTAGAAACGACTTTTCAAATTTAAACAGTTGCTCAATTTAAACATATGTCCATGCATACATTGAAACTGTATTATTTAGTAGTTTACAACATGTAAATGTTTAGATAGCGATGTCAATTTAGATTTTTTTCTTTCAGATCTTGAGGAGGGAAAGGTCGAGTACTCTAACAATGACAATTCAACTACCACGGACTTCTTCATGTTCAAGGTTACGGTCGGAGGGACTGTTTATATGGAGGACACTCTGCATATACAGGTTATATATGTAATTTTTTTGATAATCTGAGCGAATTCAACATGAAGTAAAAATATTAAATTGTGCTTAGGTTAAAAAATATATTTTTGTTATAAGGTTTACCCTGAATCATATTGGGACGGGTTGAAGATCGGGAGCAACAACTCCCTTCTAGTGGAAGAAGGAACCTCTGTTAAAATATCAGAATACGATCTCAGGAAACCTAGATTTTCATATTTACCATGAAATCTACTCTTTATTATAAATAACGTCAAGTTAGATGTCATGTATTACAAAATCTTTTCTATTAATCATCAATGCACTTGTTGAGTGAAATAGATTGCAGGTGTAAACTGCATTCTATTGATCTTGATTGGTGGACCAGCTAAACTTTCTAATTCTTTTACAGAATACACAGATAGAACGAGAAGGCCAGTCCTGGTTTTAGATTAGTCAATTTTTTATTGATGGAATTTTTTACCTTTTACGAAATAATCAGGATGCCCCAATTTTTGGGATTGAAAACTCATCTGAGTCCATTATTGTGCCATTAAAAGATGCTCCTGAGTCCCGGAGCAATCAAAATATTTCGTGACAATTTCCATCATGATTTTGAATGATGTAGCCTAGAATCATATATGATTTGTTTTTTTTTACAATGGTCGGCACATATTTCAATACAAAATATATCATTGAGATTACTATTTAAGCTTTGATTTTATAATAAACTGTTGAACTGTTGAAAAATGTTCCCATTTTTCATGATTCGCTGCAACGTTAAACTTGTCTTTTTCTTTGCCAAATCTTTAAATAAGCCATAAAAGACTATATTTATTTTGTATATCACTTAATTTAACCTTGAAATCGTAATGTTTTTAAGCCTAATTCTTTATGGGTAACCTTGTATTTAACTAAAGAAAAGGAGTCTTTACCGTCAAAAAACAATTAAGCCGAAAGGGACGTAAATTAAAAGATTTTTGTTTTAAACGATAACATTCAGATTATACCGGAATAAATGAGAATTCAAACACGTTAAAACAGATTAGAATTCAATCCATTTTCAGAGAAATTGTTTTACTTTCTATTTCTTAAATAGATTGGACGTTCTACTTTTTTTACTTTACATATCTAACTGTATAAATATTTTTATTTGTTGGTCCGAAAAAAAATCCAAAAACCCGCAACATTCAGTATTGATCATGCTGTTTTAATATAGGTGGCCAATCCCTTAATGAATCTTCCAGCATGCTAATGTCGTGTGCATGACGTGGTGCACCTGGAAATATAAAATCAAATGATAATCAAAATGTAAAGGTCTGTTTTCCATAGTGTCATATCATAAACTGTTAAACCTTAAGTGTTAATATCATACAGTTAAACGATTAAGTCTGTCTAATCTACTAACTGTGAGTAATTCTAGCCATCCTTTTTTCGATTGGTTTAATATTTTTAACAATTCATGATTTTAAAAAGATGGAGTTAAGAATGCATTTCTTATTGTATTATTACATTGACTGTCAGACTGTCATTGCTGCTTTTTTTTACTCTCAGCTTATAATATTATGGATTTATTAATGACAGAGACCGAGTATTGAATATCTATCTATCTAGTTGTCCATTTACCTAGCTCATCAATTTCTTTCACCTAATATAAATCTTCCATACTTTAGAGTAGTATAGAGTGTTAGATAATGTATCTAATCCATAGATATACCCTCCATCTATTTAACTATTATTTATCTATCTATCCTTTTTCTACTGGACCATCACTGTATTACCTTTCTCAGAATGAATGATGGATCTTCTTTGCTGTCTCTTCAGCATCCTAGTACACAGCACTACAGTAATCATCTGGCAGATATTTGTACTTAATCTTAATTGCACCTGCGACTCTCTTATTTGCTCTCTAATGATGAAAAAAGTAGCAATCGTCTAGCAAAGAATATTCTTGTATCTATACTATCTAACTTATATCCCTTTATTACCATCTTATATTCTTTCATTATCCCATTCGCAATCTCTCATTTCCTTTAACCCGTTCTCCCAAATCAAAATTCTTAGTTTCCAGCTAGATAGAATAGACCGTATATTTTTACAAAACTTCTCCTTATTTTCTTTTCAATACATTCATACAATCTTTACAATATATAGAACAGGAATATATTCATAAAATCTGTATATTACAGCATAGGAAATAGTGCATTTCCGCCCTACTCTACCTTATAGCTGCTCCTTCCCCCCCACCGCCACACTCAGTTCAACATTTCAAAAATACTTTAAAGACATCATCTTCTAAGAATCTGAGCTGGAAACTGTTAAATATATAAATATAAAAATAAGTCAAAACTATGATATTCGCCTAACGTATCATCAATTGGTCAAATCAGAAAAGTATTTACCAATATGAGAATTAAATATTGAGCATCGTCGTCACTTTATTCATTTTGGAGATAAACTTTACACTTTAAAATATTTTAACACTGACAGTTTTATTTACAATATTTTCTAATATTCGTTTCAGGCTTAGTTTTAATCTTCCTTTCTTATTATTGTATAAGAGATAAATCCTTTATCTTGATTGGAAAACTATTAGAACAAATATAGTGCCATATTATTTATGAAATTGACAATTTAGATTGAATATAGTTCAACGAGGGGAGGAAGGTCGATCACAACAATTCCTAATCCGAGCCTCATTCTCCTCAAAATCCTCGTCTTTTAAAAAATATTTTTTTATGTGTCCAATCCTTGAAGATGAGAATATTTTTTAAAAAGCTGGCCACGCTAGGGCATACAACTAAAGTTTTGCAATGATTTTATAATGTTGGAATCTTCAAATCCATGAAAATGATGCCAAACTTTATTTAGGTTAAAACTTAAACCTTTTCTTCCTCGAAAATGGTTAACTTTCAAAGTATTAACTTGAACATGGTCTATAATCTTTCCTTTTCAATCCATATAAAAAATCATTGATTTCTGATATATTTACAAATAAGGCAAATTTTTGTTCTCAAACCAAGTCACTTCTGCCTGTCACACGATTATATCCAAGGAGAAAGTAATGTTTAATTTAAATTATTTAAATCATTTGCTACAATTTATCCCTCACAATCCTACGAATTCAAATATTATTTAAATCATTAAGGAAATGTGGGTGGAAATAAACTGTTTGAGATGGGCATCATTTTTGTGAATAAACGAAATTTTTCGTGAACGATGGTGTTGTATAGAAAAATTAATAAACGATCAACGAACAAGTTGGAAAGTTCAGAAAAATCAAAAAGACAGTATCTGAAAAACGAAGAAACAACGAGCGATTTAAATTAAACTTGAAAATAAACTAACGATAATTCTGAAAACGAAAAAATTCTAATTTTTCCTGACCGACTGGGAAAAACAAACGAAATGGGTCTTAAACGAACGATGAACGAACGAATGGAAAAAAAACCTCAGAATTAAAGAAAAACCATTTGCCACAATTTTTAATTCGGCTTCTAATTCCTTGAAATTTTTTTATTTTAATTTTTTTTTGGAGGGGGGGGGGTGGACACTTTACAGTTTGATGCGAATCTAGGACCAAATATTAAAAATTCAATGTTGTTGGATTTTTTTATTGTATTAGTATCAAGTCTATCTATTAAATGAACTTTTTTCAATTCTTTGCTAAAAGTTTTAAAATTTAGTTGGTACTTATCTGTACTTGAAAACTTTCCTGCTTTAAGTTTTAAGTTAAAAATTTAAATTGTTAAGCTTTCACTAGATTAGTGTAGGCTAAAAACTTGAGAAAAGGTAGAGATATGTATTCTTCAATTCTCGTTTTAAAATACTTTTATCTGGGTTTGATCAGGGTTGTGCATGGTGAGATGGTTTCACAGGATATCAAGTTTTCAGTAACTCAAGGTAAATTTTTATTTTCATGAGACACTTTTTTAAAACTAATTGTTTTGATTTAGGTCCAAGTTATGGATTTCTAGAGGTTGATCCTCCCAGCTATTTGGATCAGGTAACATGATTGATTATAAGATTTTTTCTACATACAAAGTATAAATTTTCCTATTTAGATCTTTAAAAAATAAACCTTTTCCATCACATAAGTTAAGAAATGAAGTCCTGTATCGATGAATTTTAATGATTAAAAATATAAAGAAAAAAAACAATTGCAAGTTAAAGTTGAACTTATAATTTTGTTTCGAAAACTTTAGAAAATATTCACCATCGTGAAATATTAACAATATATAAATACCTAAGGCGAGTATATGCAAGTGTGGGCAGGAAAATGTAGTGAAAAATATTGGTCTGAAGAAAAACTAAAGAATAACGGGTGTTTTATATTTTATTTGAGGTTCACGTTCAAGGATTAAATGGCGTTCGAATACAAATGGTTCATATGGATTTAAAGCGGTCGGTTTTATTAGCTTGAAGAAAGTGTACTCTCACTCTTATAAATGGGGAACATTAGAGGCACATTTAGCTCAAAATTTTTCTTTTTCAAAAATCATAAATTCAAAATTTACACTTTGCACCGTTGTTACATTATTAAAAGTAGAGTTTTACAAAAAATCATAGAATCCTGTATGTTAATTATTTTTTCCATAGGTTGGTACACCTTCATTGTTTTGTGTCTTATGTGATAGGGTTAAAATATTCCTCGCTTGCAAACTGCAAAGATGTATTTTTTATTTGTCTCAAATAAAATATCCATTGTTTTTATAAGATTTTACTATTAAAGAAAATGGTTTTGTTGGATTCCAACATATTGATAGTTTATGTTATGCACCGCTTACCCTATAGATTAAGAAAAGCATATTATTAGAAAACGTTGTGTTTGATCATAAGGAAATGCTGCAGGGTACATCAGGATCCAAGAAATTATTAGCTAATCCGTCAACCATACCATCATTCATGATCTTGTTTATCAAAAATTAATCTCTCACAATACTGTTTTATCGAAAAATATCAAAGCCAATAAGAAAACTAAGAAGAAATCAATACAACTGGGGTTTATAGACTAAAATTAGCTGAAGAAATTCTTCGGGATCAATGTTTCCTAGAGTTGATTCTAATTTTCAAGCCATTAAATCACTTTGTCAAAACTCGCTAAATCGGGTCTAACCTTAGACTTTAGAATTGAGACTGAGGAATTTACACTCGAGACTATGCTTTTAAATTCTGGTCTCTAAGGTCGGAATTTTTGAATTGTGAATTCCAGATCAGTGAGCAGAAATCCTACGCACGGATAAAGTTATATCCTTTTGGATAATTCTAAAGTTCTAAAGTGTAAAAATTAAACATTAAAATATGTTTTATAATAATAGTGATAAATATGATAACGAAGTTTTTTAACAGTTTTTTACCCCAATGGGAAAGTTTTACTTAAATGCATCTTAGATCATTAACTGCAGAACATTATATCTATCTAAAATAAGCATTTACGCAAAATACATCATTTCACAGTATGCAAGTTAATTTTACCCTGATACAAGTTTTTCAGTAAAACTTACCCAGGATTTGCAGTTTCTTTTCATCCTTATGTATACTGGTATATTGTATATATATGTATGCATCGGATCAACTTTATATATCCTACATGTTTATATATATCAGGAGCCTGCACCGCAGAGAGTTAAACATCACGTGACCTCTTTTACTCAAAATATCATCAATGAAGGTCGTCTTCATTATGTTCAGTCTAGTTCCAACCAGACTAGGGACTCATTCATGTTCGACGTGAGCAACGGTATTTCAAGTATTGTCGGTCTCGTTTTTCACTTCATCATCATACCACAGGTAGTTTTATCATTTAATGTGATATTTATCTATTATAATACCACAGGTAGTTTTATATACATTTCCTGTGATATTTATCTATTATCATAATACAGCTAGTTTTATATACATTTGTGTAATGCAAGGTTATTATGCAAGGAAAGTTATTTCAGAGGTGTACGCATCTTTTGTACTGCAGTGTACTGTCTCTGGGGGGTAATGTAAACACAAGACGGATGTCGAAACTTGACATGGGTCCATCTTTCAAATAAAAAATTAATGAAATATTCTGGTCATAGAAAAATATTATGTGAATTATCAACATTATCAAAATGTAATGCTTTTGACCTCCTCGGATACTAAACGAACACTGATGCATCTAATCTTGTTTGTATTCCGCCTAGAGAGAACTATGTACCCAGAGTATGCGCTACTGCGATTAACTTTCCTTGCATTATAACCTATGGTATAATGTATATGTAAGGCAACATTTTTTTCATTAAAAAAAAGGCAGTTTTATACAGTAAATATACATTTAAGAAAAAAAGACAACCTTTCTGGATGTTCTTTTCCAAATATATTGTAAAACAGTCAGCAAAGCTGAAGGGGTCGACTCCATGGTACTCCACACTCCTTGGTGTGAACTGATTTACATTTTATATTAAGTTTTTTATCATACCATTCTATAGTTATATACTTAGATTTTAAGGATATTTTAAATTAATCTTATTATCTTAATTATAACCTATTTTTTCATTTTGTTTTGAAATATATATTAAGCTGCTAATACTTGCTGTCAAAGAAAATCTAGAAAAATGTGTAAAAATTAGATGTAATGGTAGAATCTAGGTCGGATATAAATCCTGAGTTCGGAGAAGTGCAACTAACTTTATTGGTTTTTATATCCCCTGGACAGAGGATATTTATTATATATATTATATATTATTAAATATATTAGTACACAATAAACATATACAATTTTTTTCATATATTTCTCTGTTTTTGTTTGATGTATTTTGTAAATTTTTTGTGGAAATTATTTTCAAATAAATTAAGAATAAAACTGATATTTTTATCTGAAAAACCTAGCACTTTTTCAAAAATTTTCGTTTAATTTAGTTAAAACGGACATATAGAATTTATTTGAAACCTTTATTGGTTCTAGGATATCTATATTGAGACGAGGCCGCTACGGGTTGATGAGGGAGGATCTGGATTCTTGTCTACGGAGAACCTACATGTTCTCACCACCTACTATGAAGATAGGATCGGAGACTGGATGATTGTATCCGGACCTGAGCATGGTAGCCTAGTTGCTCTTCATCAACCTAATAGAAATGTTTCTATCTTCAGTATGCAACAGCTGAGGGGAAATCAGATTAAGGTTTAAAAATTATTTCATTTTTTCATTATTATAAAATATGATAACAATCTATAAAATAAAGTTCTAGGCCTATACAGGATTTTTTCTTTTCACATCCATCGTCGGTTTTCCATCCTTACTTGCCCTCATATCGATTCTCTTTTTTCAACCTTCAATTATTAAACTCTCATTTTATGCCACACATTCCTTATTTTAATTATTAGTTTTACACTCCCCAAACCCACTTTTATCCTTCGTTCGTCCCTCTTCCATTCTAACCCACTTTTCCATTTGTAAACACTTTCTGTTTATTTGATTGCTTTCTGTGTCCTGTTGTCATACCTTTCACTATCTGCATTATTTACTGTCAAATTTGTTTACTGCTTCTTTCACTGTCAATCCAGTATCCACCTTATCATCATCATAATAAGGATTTCTTCGGGAAATGTTAATTCTTGGCCCTTTTTTGTTTGTTTGTTTTTATATTAAGGATTATGGTAGAAACAAAAGAATAAGTAGAAACAAATCTTTATTCCAATTAATTCTCTACCTAGACTCATACATTATGCAGTAAAAAAAACCTAGAATATATTTGAGGGAAAATGTAACAAAGAAATGCTGTATAGCTCCCAAATTTGAGGAGTGGAGCTACATAGACTTGAATCAGCATCTGTAATTACTTGCCTGTCACAACAAGTTTCCAAGTTTAAAGAGAAATTATATATTTCTCACTTTTAGAAAGATATCTTCAAATCTTATTTTATAAAAAAAGTTTGAATTCTTTCTTCCTGAATACAAACCATAAGATAAGAAGGAGAGGGGTTAGACATTGTTCTCATTTTATTAACTGTAACATTAACTTGGCACTAGAAGTGGTAGGTTATTAGTAAGACGTTGATTTATACTTATAATAGGAAAGGAAGAAGGGGGTTTGGGGTAGAGACGTATTATATACAACTTATATTGATAGGTACTATCAGTTTGGAGAAGAGAAAAGGATGATAAATCCTAGAAATAAGAGAATATAGAGGATAGAGGCAAATTAACAGAAAAGATCCTAAAGTAAAAAGGAAGAGGAAAGGAGTAAAATATATATGAAGAGCTGTATTTGTAATTTTGCATATCTCAACTGTAAATTACAAATACGTGTCAGTAAATTTTAAATCTGTTGCTGTTCATTTAGTATTGCATTTAGATAAAGAATTAAATTCCAAAATAAAAAAATGTATTTAGAATTATTATTTTTAAAGTTGAAATTAATTCAAATTAAATAAAACAGTGAAGCCTTCAGCTCGGCACATTTTTCTTTTTGTAAAAGAATTCCTCACTTTGCATGAAAGTGGAAGCAGCTTTGTTCTATTAAACTCAGAGTTAATTACGGATTGGGTTGTATTGTGTAGTAGCACAAACCAAGTTAGTTGTTTGCTTTTCCCATTGCTTTGATCCATAGTATACTTTAGTCTTAGTTTAATACTCAACCTTTGCAAACAACATATAACTGGCTACTAGTATCATTATTATTCATGTTATCATTTCCATTTATAGTTTTAGTATTGACATTATTAATATCTCTATTGTATCAAAATGATAATTAGATATTATTGATATTTTAAAGATTAATGTTAATTTTTTAGTATTTTCACGATGGGACGGATAGTACAACTGACAGTGTACTAATAGTGGGTAGAACTGCTGGGGTTGACTGGCCAGACAAGGACAAGACAAGTGTCCCCGCCACTCTTAACATTATAATCAACCCTGTCAACGATGCTGAGCCTATACTTATCACCAACACTGGGTTAACAATGTGGGCTGGAGCAACTGTAAACCTAAGCTCTAGTAACCTAGCAGCAGCTGACGCGGACACCAGGTAAATAATATTAAAACTGATTGGATAAAAAACTTGGTTACATTAAATCGAAAATACTTAAAATGTACACCACACGTACACACTCCGACACAGACAAGATAATAAAAATATAGATACGAAGGATCAAGGATGTAATGCAAGGAACGTTATTTCAGAAGTGTACACATCTTTTGTACTGCAGTGTATTGTCTCTGGGCGGTAATGTAAACACAAGACGGATGTCGAAGCCTGACATGGGATCCATCTTTCACATAAATAATCAATGAAATATTCTGGTCATAGGAAACTATTATGTGAATAATCAAAATTATCAAAATTTAATGCTTTTAACCTCCTCGGATACTAAACAAACACTGATTCATCTGTTCTTGTTTACAAATTCCGCCCAAAGAGAACTGGTTTCATTATGTGCGCAGAGTATACACAACCGTAATAAACTTTCCTTGCATTACATTCTTGCGAAGGATTAAAAAATTGACTATTATTTTTAAAACAACGAATTACCTGCAGAATATGTGTATTTAAAGGATAAATATACATATGTATATATATATTGATACCTTGAATACAAAGAGCTGTTGATAAAGGAAATATATAATGTATGCGGTAAAATATAAATCAGATGGAAGTGAAGGATTCTACTACTCTGCATTGTGTCCTCTTTACCAACTCTAATTTATGTCTCTTTTGTCTTTCTGTCACGAAGAACTGTGATTATGTTTGTCTTTAATCTATATACCTTTTATCTAAAAATATAATGGTTACCAACAAACAAATCACATTTTTTACTGCTACAAATATATCTTATAAATAATTAAAATTCTTCCAGGTACAAATATAACTTGTTGGTTCTAAATATATTATGCAGCCGTTTTTCGTTAATATAAAACTGTTTAAAGCCGTAAAAATAACTGTTTATAGAGCTGCAAATATAACTATTTAGAGCTAAAAATAAAATGTTTAGAGCTGCAAATATCACCTACCGTATAAGTTCGCCTCACTGTGGAATGGTAAACTTGATAAGCCGGCCAACCTATCCTGTCTCAGAATTCACAGAGGAACAAATTCAAGAGGGCGCTGTAGCCTTCACGCATTCAGGTATTTTACACTCTCCTAGGTAGACTCCATCCACTTTTATATCTAATTAGCAGTCTTGGAACCAAATTTAATTCTTGAATCCAATACGACATCGATAATTTGATGTTTGTTATTCAACAGTCAATATTTGAACTTGAACTTAAAATTCAGTTTGGTTATAGATATTTCCACAGAACGAAGATAATCAGAATTTGAACTGAGTTTATTTTCCTGATAAAAATAAATTGAAGTTCATGAAGCTAGATATTAGGAACTTGTTTATTCAATACTTTATTTTATAGTATATTCCAACCTTCCCTCCAGTTATGTATTGAGTGAAGTGTTTGCTGACAGGAAGAAAAATGAAAGAGTCTTTATTTAAGTTAAAAATTGATAACTCTAGACAGACAGTGTTTACCTTCATCCAACCCAACTTTCTACCCCCCCCCTCTCCACCCTTCTTCCACCTTCAGGCCTAAAGTACACAACCCTACCTTCTTCTATGTTTCTAGAATAAACAAGTCAACCCCCTCCCCCCCCCCTCACTAGTTATTTCATTTTCCATGCGACGCCAAAAATGTCGTCTTTTTCAAATTATCAATTAATTAATATTTATTCGAAGTAAAGATGATTTCAATGTGTTTTACAAATCAAAATACATTCTTAAAGGGACCGTTCACTTATTTGGGTTATTTGAGGGTAAACTAAACAGCCTATTCGCTGTTGATTAGTAATAGTCTTACTTTTCAAAGACAACTGTGGCCGGAGAAAAAGTCGATTTTTCGTTCAGAATTCGAGCGCAAAGGACGGTCCCTTTCTATAGACACTAATTGATATTTTTTTTCAGCATGTTGTGAATCAAAATAAATTTCGAATATATAATTAAACTGTAGTATCAAATCGTTAATTGTGAATGTCATTATTTTTATTTTTTTTGTTGTTTAACTTTCTATTTCTAAAATAACACTATTTTATCGCATTCAAAATTGTGTATTGCCTGTGTAAAAAGCTGAATTGAACGCGGCATGACAAATGAAAAGTTATGCACATACGGGAAAAAAATATACAAAATCTACGAACCAAAATACGAGTAATGATTAATTGATTGTCGTAGAGACGTCGTCTTTGTATACACATTTTACATGTTTTAATACGGAAAACGTGAATTTCTTGCTAATTCAAATATCAAAAGTTTTCAGATTTTAGTACATAATAACGAACACATAATGACATTAAAATATAATAAATTTAAATGTTATTGGGCTTCTTTTACTGAAAAAAACATTAAATAGTGTCTATAGAGAGGGACCGTCCCTTTCCGCTCAAATTCTGAACGAAAAATCGGCTTTTTCTCAGGCCACAATTGTCTTTGAAAAGTAAGACTAATACCATGGCAATCAAGATCGAATAGGCTGTTTAGTTTACCCTCAAATTACCCAAATAAGTGAACGGTCCCTTTAAAAATCGGCAGGGATGATGAACTGATGTGCACAACACCGACCCTCCCATATAATTTTTTTTGCAATCACAAATTCTTAGAATCCGGCACAATTCTCCTTTACTTCAGTATTTCAAAATTTATTTTATTATTAAGTATAGTATAATTAATTATTATGCAGTACATGATTACAGAAAACTTTACAATCGATTCCGAACACAGAAAGTCAGAATATATGATCCTGCAATAATTCTTTAAAAACTCATAACTTTTTTCCAAGTTATGAGTCCAACTATTGGACAAAAATTGTATAAAGGAATTGAGTCTTTCTCATAAACACTGATTTTCTAATCCCTATATCTCTTCGCAATTCAATGTGGTAGAACTTTAATATTTCAAACTATGAATTCAGTTACATTAAATATTCTAAGTTTGATATAAAAGGTTTACATCATGGGGTTACAGAGGGATAGGGATTAGAGAATTTGAGTTTGTTGTAAATACTCATTTCTTTTTACTATAAATATCCTAATTCCTACTTAAAATTATAATATTAACATATTACGTTTAGGTTGTCTGGCTGGAGGGTTCTCATTTAAGCTTTGGGACGGAAAGAATATAGGAGAGAAAGAGGAATTTCAAGTATTGATTGAACAGTTGGTTTTAAAGGAAAAAATCAACAAAGAACTCCACGTCTTTCCTGGTTCTCAGACAAAAATAACAGAATCTGATCTTCATGTCCAGACCTCAGATGCTCACTCGCAGGCACGCAAATATTCCAACCAATTCTTTAAATTCGAATTTAATAGAACATGTTAGTTACCCCTTAGATATAAGGATTTTTTTTCTTTGGAGGAGGGATCATTTCAGTAAGTAATACTAATCTTTCATGATGAAAGAACTAGATCGTGATATCAGAAACTTTTTTAATATATCCCATGCTTTGATTAGAGTGTGTAAACACAGCCAGAGTATTTTTATATGTAAAAAATATGGGGGCACTGGGAGTGAGGGCTAGTTATATACACATATAAGGATTTTTCTTATAAATCATGGTTATTCCAGCATGAGGAATTTATTCTTGATATATAAATGAAAAAAATACATATTGAACTATTCATGTTAGGACAAGGTGTACTTTTCTTCCCTGTTTTGAAAGCAAATTATTTACTAAGTAGTTTGTAGTTGGATGAATAAATAATGAGGTTGATCCAGTGTGGAGAACTGACTGGAATATTTGCATGATTTACTAGAGAGAGATCGTGTTCCTTGTTACCAGTTCTCCTGGCAAAGGGAAAATTCTCTATCTCACGGATGCAGGACAATACGAAGATACTCAGAACTTTACTCAGAGCCTAATCTCACAGGGCAGAATATTCTATAAACACGATCAACCGTTTAAACATATCAAGGATTTTGACTTCTTCAACTTTGAAGCAGTTGCTGATTATGCTCCGTATAGACTAAAATCCGTCTTTAATGTAGTCATATCTGTAACAGCTCAAACCCCCGGAGGAATTGAAAGATATATAAAGGTTCAGCAAGTAGTATGTCCGGAGGGGGGAAATGTTACAATCTTTCCTCAAAATCTGAACACAACGGGAATATTGCATTTTCTCCGCTCAGGTCCTAAGTTCAATCTTCCAAACTTTATGCCTTTGGTTAAGATAAAGTTGTCGAGTACACCCTTGAGAGGTACCATTAGTATTGGAGGTGGGTTAGCTAAACAAGGGGCTATATTCACACAGGGAGACTTAGATACTGGACGGATTATTTATTCTCACGATGATTCTGACACTGTGTCGGACAGAGTTGGGTTTTCAGTCTATCTAGTGTTAGACCTGAGCCAGGATATATTGGTTTACCAGTCTCAACTCAATATATCAATTACTCCAGTAAATGACAGAATGCCCTTCTTGGTAACAAAGAACCCTAGTATAGTTGTGGTCCGAGGGCAGTCCAAACCTATAAATAGGGATATGTTGGAAATACAAGATCCGGACACAGAACCTCAGGATATACATTTTACTATCCTGGATAACGGACTGCAGGGCAGACTTGTCTTTAAAGAAAATCAAGCTCAGAGTATTTCTCATTTCTCCCAGGATGATATAAACAAAGAGAGAGTGCTTTACGTCCATGACGGAGCCTCGAGTCAAACACAGTTTTATTTCTCCGTTACAGACGGAAGATTTCAGCCCCGAGAGACCGGACTCTCTCGACATTTCAGGATTCACATTATCCCACTTTCCTTGGATCTTCAGAACCAGACAGTGATTCAGTTAGACCAGGTGGGTTTATATTACATGAAAGTATTTTATACCAATATATCATATATACAATTCGTTATTATTCTCATCCATTTATAATCTTTAGTTCCTCTTTAGCAAAAATTGCAAATTTCTGTAGAAATGGATAAGTGTAGGTTTTTTGCGCTATCAAAAATTGTTGCAAATAAAAATTTATTTTCAATAAATGTATGCTATGAAAGTAAGAAACCATATATGACGAATATAAAAAATGCTAAATTTTACGAGATTAAAATACGAATATTTCAGGGAACAACTACAGCTATTCTAACCAATCGTAACCTTGGAGCTTCTTCAAATGGTGATCGAAACCGGATTCTGTACAGGATAACGAGAAAACCAGAGGCTGGTCAGCTCTTAGTAGAGGATAAACCTGCTGATGTTTTCTCTCAGGTACTGTAATGAGCTATCAGAAAATGTTTGAATTCACGTAATTGATCAAAAACATATTTTTTGTAAACTCTTTTAAATCTGCATAAAACGTACTTAACGTACTTTAATTTTATTTAAAAGAACATTTAACACTTGGTCAAAGGAAGTAGATTTTAGCTTAATCGCATTTAAAACTTCAAATGTACCATGAAAGCTCGAACTTTGAATATTTGCAACAAAAAGCGTAAGAAAGACATTTCGGAAAGAACCTCAAAATACTTTAATATGAATTTTTAGCCTTTTATTTAAACGTAACACATCTTTTTTCCAGGTGAATATAGACCGCGAGGAGGTTGTGTATTTACAGACAGATATGAAGTTCTCAAATGATTCTTTCTCTGCTGAAATTACGAACCAGGAAAACAAAATACCAGGACTTATTTTTAATATATCAGTAAAACCTCTGGTGAGACAGGAAATCCTATTTGTGGGAAGTATCGACAACTCAACTCCACTCTCCTGTCGGAACCTTGATGCCACTAAGCTTGCAGGGTTAACCAATAGCAATCCAGTGTATTATATTCTTAGCTCTCCTAGCCTCGGCAAAATAAAGAGGATTATTAGGACGTCAAGAACAAGAGAACCAAGATCCCTAAGGGACCGAGAGGTTTGGCATTTTACCCATGAGGATCTGAGAAACGGGGTCATATATTTTGTTGGTTCTAACAATCCTATCTCAAGAAATACTTCGGATCAAATAACGTATCGGTTAGAAGCCCCCGGGGTGCAACCTGCACTTGGCATATTCAAGTTTATGGTTAATCTGTCCGGAGTAACATCAAGGCAGCCACTACCTAATGTTACACCAACAGGGTTAGCTCCGATACCCATTGCCTCCAGGAAAGATATTGTTATAGCCACGAGTGTTGTTTCTAGTCTCCTTCTCATAATCATTTGCGCAATAATCATTGTTAAATGTAGGAACGGGAAGTATAGAGCGGAGATGCTGAGACCTAACGGTCATGTTTGTCAGATTTCATCGGACATGAGACACAGGAGAAACAGCCATTTCGATGACGTTTACGAAACTAGGTCCGGGATTATGTCATTATCTAAAGATCATCCAGTTTCATCTCCCCGCCTTAATACTGACAGGTTTCACGGAAATGGAACTCTCTCTCGTCATCCAGCCCTACCATTGTCCCCACACGGAGCCAATATATCTGATTCTGATTCATGGATGGAGAGCTCCAGATCTAGAGAAACATCTCCTTCTTCCAGCATTCCACCCTCCCTCCCAGCCTTTAGGGTTATACCTCTTTGTGAGTCCGAGAGTTCCGGAACTCATCTTTCTGATCCACCTGTATCCGCAATTCCGTTCGGACGTAACTCCAATGACTTCCACATTGCATCGTCGGAGGCGGGATCCCACCCTTCCGATTGCACCCTTCTTGGAGATCGTCCATCTTTGCATGGACAGCCTTTACTTAGAAGAAACCAGTATTGGGTGTGACAAAGGCCTTTAACTGACTTTTCTCTTGGTTCTGATCCTGACTCTGGTGTAGGGTTTCCAGAATCTGACAGTGGTTCTGGTTCCTCTCAAAAAAGACATCGTCGGGTCGGGAGCTATGATCCTTTAGTAGAGAATACAGAATACGCCCCTCTTATTCAGAACTCGTTCCAGAGAAACTACTGGAGCCAGGAACAGAGAGGAGAGTCAGAGGATCGTCAGTTACTAGATAGTATGGGGAAACCTTTAAAAGGAATTCTAAAAAACAATCAATTTCAATCCCTTCCTAGACCTGGTACTGGAGGGTGCGGATGCCAATCTCTGCTTGAATATATTCCCGGACCTGAGAATATATGTGATACCTCGGAGAGACGGAGAAGCGCCGAGGTTATAGACACAGTGGAGAGTAGTGTCTAGTATTCAAAACTTGTCAATAAAAAAATATCTAGATATGTACAAATATACACTGTATTTTTAATTTTTTTAATTTTAAATCAAAATATACACTGTATTTTTAATTTATTTTTTATTTTAAACCAATATCAACGATAAAACGATTTCTTGTTCTTTCCTGTAAAGTCTATATTCTAGTAATGAATACATGCAAACAAAAAAATAAAATCTATTTCTATTATTTTTTATAAAGGTCAGTAAGTTAAGACTTGAATTTAATTCCATATAACAGTACTGCAATATCATTAGCTCTGATTTATTTTGATGAGTACTTTCCGATAGCATTTTCCAGATATCAATCTATCCAATCGCGCTAGTTTTCTAAATTGATGTATTTTCCTAATAATTAATTGCAAAGTATTTTATTATGAGAGCATTTCCGAAATTGTTCTAGAGAAATTGAGATTGAGAAATTCCTGATATGTACAGTGGGATCCTAAAAGTGTGGAGTAGGAAGACGCATATTTAATAAATCATATGTGTATTTCATGTTAACGAGCAAATAGGTTTACAAACAACTTGAAAAACACCTTTTTATTAATATTAGCAGGAAATATTTATGTAATCGGTAAAAATAAACTTCGTTTTCACTTTACATTTTCATTTAAGTCCTTTTGATAGATTGTTTATATAATATTGTTGACGAGATGTTGGTTCAAGTTTGGAAGCTCAAAACCCGGAAACCAGGCCAATATTTTTCAATGATAAATACTAGGGATAGAATTGTTAACTGGGAAACGTATTGAATAAAGAAAAGCATAGAGATGTGGCAAACATCTAATCCAAAGTTTTGCAGTAAAATTGATTAAAACTTTGATAGATTCAACTTGAATATTTATGTATAGTAATGATTTATAAACTTGTGAATCTATTCTTCCTGCAAAATATTTTCGAAAATTTCTGTATTTTTAAAATATGAGTCTGAATATTTATTCTTTTATGTTTAAAACGGTTTATATTTAACCAAACTCCCCCCCCCCCCCCCCCCCCCCCCCCCCCCCCCAACCATACATCACTTAACTTTGAATGACGAAAATCATTTCTACTGGGTTTGAATACTAGTTTAAATAATCATATATCGTCTTGATTTTAATTAAATAAAAAATAAATAAAAATAAATTGGTGTATAAGATAGCTAGTGTTTAGTTTTCTGCCTTGAACGGAGAAACAATTGCTTAACTCATTTATTACATAAAAATGACACTCCTGAACCGATGAAATTTTTTTAAATGTTCATAACTCCTAAGACTCAGGGTTTCAATAAAAACGTTGCTAGTAATTTGGAAGTCTGAAGGTAGTAACCTAGGTCTTAATACTTAACAAGATCAGTTGTGTTTTTTTATACTTTTATCAATATACGAAAAAATTAGCACACGTTAAAAAATAGATAAACGTAACCCACTTTTATTTCTTCTCAATAAAAGGAATACAAAGCAATAAAAGTAAATTAAACAAGAATAAAGTATATACTTTGTAGTGGGCTGTAGGAAAGGAATTTAGGAAATCCTTCTCTTGATATAATCTATCAAATATATAATATAGTTTGCAGCAGGAAGGGAGTGTTAACCTTAAATAAATGTATTCTTTGAGATGTGAAGGGTTTTCGGAGATTGTGGTGTGGGGAGCTCTGCGAGAATCAATTTACTGGTTTTAAAACTTTTCATTGCGACAAAAACTTCATTATCTTCAATAAAACATAGATCATAGACAGGTCTAAACAAAATTATAAATTATCAAACATAACTTTTTCGATAAGATAAATTTGTATAAATCGAATTAATTAAAAAAAAGGTTGCTTGAAAATTATTTCAAGAAAACTGCCGGAGAGGGAAAATGTTATATTTTAAATAATTAATTAAATATATTAAAATAGTGGATTAATTATTGATTACTTTTCATATTTATTTTTTTACTCTAGGTCACATATAGTTAAGTCTAATATTCTAGTCGAGATGGAAGATTGTTTGAACCCAGTACTTTTTAAAACTTTAATTTACTCAAAGTGCCCGGCTTTGGCTAAGGAATAAAAAAATTTGAATTTTGAAAAAAACATTTATAAAGAAAGAAAACTTGATCAACTCTTTAGAATTTTAGAAAGTCACGAATTACAACTTTCTTAGTGTTTTTGTTTAATGATGTATAAAGATTAAGGTTAATCAATCACACAAAGCTAAGATTAACTGGAATTTAGAAATCTTGTTAACACTTCCTCAACGCCTCAATTGAGATATTTACAAATAAAGTGCTATGATTTTCTTATCCCTATATCTTTTCAACCCAATGTCGTATGACCTTAGATATTTCAAACTATGAATTATGTTACATCAAATAATCTGAGTTTGAAATCTCAAAAGTTTACACCATTAGATTGCAAAGATATAGGGATTAGAAAATTTGAGTTTGTGGCAAAAACTTAGTTCCTTTTGTTAACATTTTCATAATATCAAATATAGTTCCTTTTGTTAACATTTTCATAATATCAAATATAATTTATGATATATCTAAAAGATAATTTGATAATAATTCTCTTTGGAAACTTTCTTTTGGTTAATCCTAAAATCCTTGGTAGTTATCCTCCCTTCGCCTTCTATCCCGTGTAGGTAGATCTTAAAGTTTAGTAATCCTGTAATCTCCGGGATCATTTTTATCTTATAAAAAACTTTTACTACATTGCAATACAGAAAGATTAATTAACACAAAGCTAGCAGGAGAACGTTTTCTTTCTATTTAACATATGTGTAATATTTACTTTTTTTCTTTCTTTGAACATTTTTAAGCTTTTGATAGGGCCTCAGAACGAATTTTTATTTACAATGTTGATATTATAGCATTTGTTTTAATATAATTTCTTTACGGTATTAATTGTATTCATTGTAGTTTCCTTTTTGTTTGCACTCTTAACAATTTTGGTGTTGTAAAACCCACAACTTCCACTTCCAGAAGCTTGGAATTTATATTCTCACCATAATAGCATGATGGGGTTGAAGAATTTTTAGCTTAAGTTTGCCTCTATACAAACTCTTTGAAGCAAAACAATTCTTTTGTAAGTTTAGTTATCAATCAGGTCACAGTGTCATCTTAAACCTTTCAAACCAACACTCAGGTTGACATTAACTTGCACCTATCCTCTAGACATAATCCTCAATACATACTCCTCTAGACAATAGGACATACTCTCTAGACAAAAGGACATACTCTTCTAGACATACTCCTCTAGACATACTCCTCTAGACAACAGGACATACTCCTCTAGACAATAAACATACTCCTCTAGCTAGACATACTCCTCTAGACAATAGGACATACTCCTCTAGACATACTCCTCTAGACAATAGGACATACTCCTCTAGACATACTCCTCTAGACATACTCCTCAAGACATACTCCTCTAGACAATAGGACATACTCCTTCAGACATACTCCTCTAGACATACTCCTCTAGACATACTCCTCAAAACATACTCCTCTAGACATACTCCTCTAGACAATAAACATACTCCTCTAGTTAGACATACTCCTCTAGACAATAGACATACTCCTCTAGACAATAGACATACTCCTCTATACAATAGACATACCCCTCTAGACATACTCCTTTATACTATTGATATACTCCTCTAGACAAAAAAAATACTCCTCTAGACAATAGAAATACTCCTTTTGACAAAAGACATACTCCTCTAGACATACTCCTCTAATCATACTCCTCTGGACATACTCCACTAGACATACGCCTCTAGACATACTCCTTTAGACATACTCCTTTAGACATACTCCTTTAGACATACTCCTTTAGACATACACCTCTAGCCATACTTACTAATCTTGCCATACTTACTTATTCCTCTAGATATACTCCCCCATCTCTTAATATTGTCTCCTTTTGCTAACGGCTTAAATATTTATATATAATAGTGTAGAGCTTGTCATCAAAAGATTTCCCTTCCATTTTTTCCTGCTCAATTTTCTTTTTTCTTCTTGCTTCTTGTTCCTTGTTGCTATGCTTTAAGGCCTATCCAAATAGTTATTGTGACATCGAGTTGTGGAGCAGGTAGGAGAGAGATAAGGAGGTTTTGAGGAGGAAGAGTATGGGGGATTGCTCCTTGTTTTCCTTTTTGTTAAAGTCTTTCCGACTAAGCGGAATTAAGGAACCCATAACTGTACTGCTTATGCAAAATATGGAGTTGGAAGCCTTAAAGCCACACCAGGTGGAATCTTCCACAGTAGACCAGTCCACACCATGTCCACACAGCCAGCCAAGTAAAAAAACCGGTATTGTTGTGCATGGCCTGCATTCCCATCAGGGGTTATAACTCCTCCTTTCAGCTGAGACAAGCTGGAGATGCAGTTTCTATTTTATTTAACTCCAATGATTCCCTCGCTACTCCCCTGTAGGATAATCATGAGCAACTCTATGCAGCGCTCTTCCAAACTGTGAGCCGGGAGATGCTATGAGAGATCCTCTTTCTGGCGCAAGCGGTAAGCAACTGAGACATACTCCTTTTCTCCTCTAGATATACTCCTCTACTCCTCTAGACATACTCCTCTACTCCTCTAGACATACTTCTCTAGACATACTCCTCTAGACATACTTCTCTAGACATACTCCTCTAGACATTCTCTTCTAGACATACTACTCTACTCCTCTAGAAATACTCCTCTACTCCTCAAAAATACTCCTCACGACATACTCCTCTACTCCATCCAAACATACTCCTCTACTCCATTCAGACATACTTCCCTACTCCTCAATCTATGAGAATTTTGCCAATTACTTCCTGAAAACCAAAGCTAGCAACACGTGTATTACAGTGCTAGATATACATGTAAAGGGCTACATAAAAGCATACGTGAGTTAGAGCGGAAAAAACAAAGCTCAAGGCGTTGCGACACTTCAAATTATACATTGTCTTAAAAATTGATGAGACTTTTTATAAGCAGGCTGAATCTATGTGGCGCGATCCTCAAGATATACTTTACTACTCATCTAGCCATACTCCTTAAGACATACTTCTCTACTCCTCT